TCTGAAACGGTTACCTTGTTTAACACATAGTAGTCCATGCAGAAGTGCCATGAGCCAGGTTAGAAAATGGGTTGTGAGAGTATTGAAGGAGCCTATTCGCAAGCATCGTCGCCACCTACTTCTCTAGCTTGGTTTTTTGATAATGGAGGGTAGCAGAACAACGGGGTGTGGATGGTATGGCTTCCTTGTTAGAGGATGGTGCTCCTAGTTGCACTGTGAGGGAAGACTTGTGATGTCTACAAAGAGCTATGAAAAATCTTGTTGGAGTTCTACCGCTAACTGTCCGTCCATCAAGTGAAGTTGTTTCACTAGCATCGAGTTGAAACAACTCAAAGTAAGCATTGCCCTTGCAGGGTCTACTGACTAGGGTATCCAGATGGAGTTGTGTGGTGCGTCTATTGCGAGTGTCACATTCTCAGTTGCGAGAGGGAATGTCATGGCCTAGCTCTAGCTTGTGTCGTCCCTGCACCTAGTGCATGCCTTGGATTATGTCAATATAGACTAAGGAAAAGAGAAGGAAATCGTCAGAGATGATGGTTTCTAGAAGGTTGACGATGATGTCTTGACACATTTCAGAACCAAAGACTGTCTTGCCGATTCCAGTGGCCACTCAATATTGTGTTGTCTTGACTAGAGGCAGCTACAACTCTTTGACCAAGCAACTGTTAATGAAGTTGAACATCACATTGATGTCGAGTAGGATGGAGACATGTCGTCCTCGGATTGTCCCTTTGAAGTGCATGACCCATCCATATGACTAGCCTAGGAGCGAGTTGAGGGCTACTTTGAGCTGGACAATCGTGTCGTCATGTGGGGAAGGTTCCGACTGAAGCTCCTCCTACTCTTCATTCTACAGATAATCAAAGTTCGCCGGAGTAAACAAGATGTTCAACTTGTGTCTGCATCAATGGCCTAGCGCAAATTTCTCATCACAATGGAAACAAAGGCCTTGGGCCCACTGGACCAAGATTTCTATCACCGTGAGATGCAATCAACGTCAACAATCTACCAGGGGAGCACTAATTGCATTTGCTGTTATGGGAGGCTGTCCCCTATCCCTACTTAGCATGCCTGGTGATGAAATGCATACTTGGCACCTGCCATAAGTCAATGGGCCTTTCTCCAAGCCCCTATCGAGCCACAATTGCCCCCCGTTTGTCGGTGCATGGAGTTTAGTCTCAATCTATTTGGGTCATCCTCATCATCACCTCTAAGTCTTGGGTTGGGGGCAAGTACTTCGGCCTGGATCTCCTGTCAAAGGCCCTTGAGAAAGTTTACTTCCATAATAGTGTCCAAAATGTCACAGAGGATGTCTGATAACATGCTATTTATGCATGTAATTATATAATTATTAATGCAAATTAAGGCATTAATCATTACAAATATATGCATGTTATCATATTTTAAGTACATTTCTATCATTTTGTGTAAATTCATGTTATGATCTTAAAATACACCAAATTATGGATTATTATAAATAATTACACATTACAATCTTTAATTCTAATTATATTTATGATCATAATCATGTTTTAAGAGTGAAAATATGAGAGAAAAGATATTTATTAACATTTATGTATTTATATAAATTTATTTTGTATAATACATAAATGTATAAAATTAATTAAAATTTATTCTCTTCTTATTTTATTAATTTGACCTTTTATAATGATAGATTATTCAATTTTGAATCCAAAAAAAACAAATTTGAATTAATTTGGAGTCGTATTTTGAAAGTTATGATTTTTACAATTTTATAGAATTTTCTGGAATTTTTCTGAATTTATTTCTATTTATTTTCGATTTTTAAATGTTTTAAATTAATTAAAAAATCGCAAAAATGGGTTATATGTCGTGCGTGTACACGTGGATGCGACGTGCTCGGGGCCACGTGGCTCTGCCACGTGGACAGCACGGGGCGCCTGCATGGCGCTGATGTGACACGTGGCGTATTTATATTTACTATATATATTTATTTAATAAAGTATATAGGTCTTCCTATTATCGGAAGACAAAGTATTAATCCCTCTTAATCGTCATATCTTATATACCCGAATATACTTCTTTGTTTTTCCCGTGTGCGACTTAAGTCCCTTAGTTTTCTTATGTGCAGGACGCGTGGCGTGATCTCGTGCGTCCGATCAACATCGCGACAAATAGCGTGCGTAGATCACGTGGAATCGAGGTCCACGCGATCAGAGATCAACCACGTGCCTAAATACTCAATTAAGTGAATAAATCGCGACCGTCTGATCGAGAGTTATAACGGTCCAGATTATTCACATCAGATGGACATCCAATCACATCTTAACCGCACGATCACGATCGGACGATCGTCGAATCGTCGTGACGATTCGTGAAGAGGCGTCTCATCGCGATCGTCCATCGCGATCAACTCCATCAGATCGGACGGCCACGATCATTTCCGAATTTTATAAAATCCGTTCTTCGCGACGGAAGAACGGCCCGCGATCAATCTTCAAATTCTCTATGTTTAGAGCTCCAATTCGCGCGCCATCTTTTGCATTGTGTTCACAACTCATTTACGCTTCTTTTGGATGTTTAATTTCAATGTTTTATTGAAATAATTGGAAGAAATAAAGTCTTGAACTCCTCTTTCGTCTTCGAAAATTCGGAATGAAAAGCCTTGCATCCGGCGATTAATTGGATCATTTCGAAGGCTAATTTGGGTTAGATTGTTTGTTTTCATCTTAATCTTTCATCATTTAGTGTTAATTTTACTTTAAGTATTGTAGATTAAGTTTAATTTAGTTTTAATTTCTGTTTTTAATCATTTCGCGATACGAAAATTTCTCTTAACTTCAAACTTCGATTACTTTTCGAATTCTCATCTAAATCACCTGATTTGTGATTCCGTGGATTCGAAATTGAGTTATCTTTCTTAATATACTAATTTCATCGTCCGATTTGACCGAATTTCAAAGATATCTCTCAAATTTCCCTAATTCTCTGTAGATTCGACCCTTAATTACCATTATACTAATTAATTACTTTGATTAATCATAAATTGGTAAGATTAGGACTTTGTTTTGACACTGAATCGTGTGCATTCAACGACCATACGATTTAGTCTCGTCAATGTCAGACAAGAGCGCAAACTACATGTGATAGCCCTCCTCCATTCATGTATGCTTGAGTTTGAGGAACTACTAGCATAGAGAGCTAGAGTGATTGTCGTCGAAACACTCAAAGAGTCGGTATTTCAAATCCTCCAAGTTGTAGAAAGGCTAACAAGTTTCGACCCACTAGAGCCAATGAAGGGTTTCCCAGCGATGCTAAGGCAAACTTCCGCCAACTACTCGGCCACTATTAGGTGATAAGTGGAGAAATAGAGCTCCACGCAGTAGATCCAGCCTTCAGGGTTGGTGCCATAAAATATGAGAAATTCCAAGTGTCTCTTGATATTGGGTTATGGTGGGCCATGCAGATGCCTTCGATCGGTTGGTCCGTCGTGGTCGTGGGGGTTCACATATGACTCTTCTCGGTGACAGGGTTCACTTGCCGCAAATGGGTGTTGGCCCGTGCTGGTTTCCCTAGGGGCCCACTCCGTCGACAGTTCCATGGGCGAGTGGACTTGCCGGCCCAACTGGGGGAAATTCCCAACTGCCGCTGAATGGTGTCCAAGATTTGCATGACCGCCCCCAATTGCTGGCGCATGTCAGCTTGATTGGCCCTCAACACTTGAAACTAATTCGCATTTGCTGCTTGATCGAAGTAGGATGAGGTGTTGGAATTCCTTCAACTCTTTCTCGAGGGAGTCGAGCTTGGGATCAGTGGGTTTGTCCCATGAGAGCAGTGTGGTGGCTTTGATACCAATTGATGACGAGTTGTTGACTCAAACATCAAATACCCTCCTGATGACTTCAATAGAGAAGCCAGACTCTGTCAACTTTCTGGAACAACACAATCATGAATGATTTCCCTCACGTAAGGATGGGGAAGAAGGAAGATAACAAGGCAAACCGCAGAAATATTGAAAGGGAATATACTAAGCGACCAAGACCTCCTTGGTCTTAGGGTCACCAATGCAAGACGGCAAGTCTCCAACTCCGAATGGAGTTCCTTACAAATCTCTCACCCTCCTCCAAGGGCTGCTTCCTCTCTCTTATAGCCTCTGTTCGTCCGTGTTTTGTGGAACTTGAGACTTGATGTGATCCGCGTTGTCAGGTCCTATGATTTTACTAGTTTGCTGTCGGATCCATCCGCCGCCCTCACCTCCTACCTTGCAGGATCCATTGTACAGTTGTCCCCAATGGTGTCAAGCTCTAGTGTCTCGTCGCCTCATGTTCCGCTCGGGCTGTCATGCTTTTTTTTACTGGGCCGGGCTGGTTTCTTCTAGACATTCTCCTACTTGGGCCCATTTTGGATGTCAAGGTCTCAATAGACTTCCCCTGAAAATTATTATAATGCCGAATTGACTACTTAGGATGTCCCCACTCAAGCCTCTCTCTATCTCTGCCCTTTGCCTCTCTCTCTCTCCCCCCTCTCCCTCTCTCTCTCTCTCTCTCTCTCTCTCTCTCTCTCAGACACACACACAGGCACACAACACAAATGCTCAACACTCTACACAAAAATCGAGTGTTATACTAGAACTAAAAACCAAATTATTTTTATTTTAATAACATTTTTGGGAAGCATAAAAGACCAAATAGTCTTTAGTAGAAGAAATATAGAATATTTTGAGAAAAACATAAGAGGTTAAATTTACATTCCACCCCATAAACATCTAGCCAAGATTTGCATTGTCCCCAACAACTTAAGTACCTTGGTGAATGCTACAGTATATTATGTTTTTAAAGAAGAAGCTAAGTTAACTTGGGGGCCAGTCAATTAGTCTGGGTCAGGCAGTCCGCTTCTAATCTTCTTACCAGCGTCGCCGACAGACTTCGAGTTGCAGACGCTTCTACCCGACAGACTTCGAGTTGCAGATAATATATGGCTGGTGTATATTGGCTATGTACTTCCCTCGCCTGTTATCCCTAGGCAGAAAAGGCACCCATTTCTCTCTCTCTCTCTCCGATCCCTTCCTTCCTCACTGCGTAGAGATTATCAGCATGAATCTGCAAAGTTTCCTGGAGAGCAACACGGGGGAAACCGTCTCCTGGGTGTGGAATCTGGTCGCCGGTGGAATCTTCACTGTCATTCTGCTGAACTCCAGGGCAGAGGAGCTAGCCAGGGAGATGAAAGAGCTGACGGACATTAGAGCAGACCTATTGGAGGAGATTAGCAACGGCGAGCTTGAGAACAAGAGGCCGGCCCACCAGACGCAGACTTGGCTCAACGAGGTGCAGGAGATCGAGGCCAGGGCGGCCGATTTCCGTGTTTCCTTCCAGCAGAGGGGGGGACTCCTCTGAGCGCTCTTCTTTGCAATCGTCCTATCGGCTCGGCTGTGAAGCTGCCGAATGCCTGAAAGAAGTCCAGAGGCTGAACCCAAACGAACAATCTCCCCTTCCTCATCCAGGCGCCGCAGCCTGCGGTAGTTCCGCTCCCGAGCTCCTCAGTCTCGATCGTGGGCGCGGAGGAGATGTTGTCGGAGATCCGCCGTCTCGTGGAGGACGATGAAGCGGGAATCATCGGGATCTACGGCTTGGGAGGAATAGGGAAGACAACCCTCTTGAACGCCATCCACGAGGAGCTCCTCCAAAGGGATCCCGGCCGTTTCGATCTGGTGATTCGGGTCACCGTCTCCATGGAGCATGATGTCCTGAAGGTTCAAGAGGAAATCGCCGTCCGGTTGGGATACTCTCGGCCCGGCCAGGGCCGGGACCCGCCCTTTCCAGAGAATCTAAAGGACAGGGCCAGCAACCTGCTGAGGGGCCTCTCCCAGAGGAAGTTCCTTCTGCTGCTGGACGACCTGTGGGACAAACTAGATCTCGGCGCTGTAGGCGTCCCCTTCTCCTCCTCTTCCATTAGGAACGGAAGCGAGGTAGTCTTCACCACACGATCACTAGAAGTGTGCAACCGGATGGACTCTCACCGGAAAGTTAAGGTGCCCCTCTTGAATCTAGCGAGCTCTTGGAGGCTCTTCTGCCAAAAGCTGGGAAAGGGAGAAGACCAGTGGGATTCCTCTGTGAGATCTCTCGCGGAAGCCGTCTGTAAAGGATGCGGAGGCCTGCCGATCACTCTCATCACCGTAGGCCGGGCCATGGCGGGTGCCACCACCCTTGGCGAGTGGGAAGAGGCTCTCATGGCGCTGAAGGACATGCCCGCGGAGCTCGGAGACATGAAAGAGGTTCTAACTCTTCTCAAGTTTAGTTTCGACAGATTGAAAGATACATCCGCCAGGGAGTGCCTTCTCTACTGCGCCCTCTTCCCAGAGGACGACGATATCGATATAAGTCAGCTCATTGATTACTGGGTAGGCGAAGGGCTCTTAGATAGGGGACACGATCCCGACTCCATTGAGAGAGCTCGTAACTACGGCCTCAGTGTGATCACCAGTCTCAAGGCTGCCTGCCTGCTAGAAGACGGGCGCATCGAAGGAAAACACGTGAAGCTCCATGGCACGATCCGCAAGATGGCCTTGTGGATAACCAGCGGCGAAGGAGATGAGAACGGGAATGTCTTCTTGGTGAACTCCGGGGAGAGGTTGACCCGCGTGTCGACGCCGGAAAGATGGACGGAGGCGAGAAGGATATCTCTCATGGTAAACAAGATAGACGTGCTCCCTGTGGAGCCTCGTTGCCCCAGTCTACAGACGCTGTTGCTGAATGACAACGACCATCATCTGAGGGAAGTCCCCGGTGGGTTTTTCCTGTTCATGTCGAGACTTCGTGTTTTAGATCTGTCGAATACGAGAACAAGTCTTCTCCCCCCAGAAATCGGGTCACTGGTTGAACTGCGGTATCTCAATCTATCAGGGACTCTCCTGGAATCATTGCCCATGGAGGTAGGGAGGTTGACGAAGCTGAGACAGCTGCGTTTGGAGGGCTCCTTGTATCTGGAGAGAATCCCACGCGAGGCAATCGCATCGCTTAAAGGCCTGCAGTCGTTGAACATTTCTAAAAGTGGTTATGAGTTGAGAGGAGGATGGGAGGAGGGTGGCGGCGATTGTGTGAGTGGTCATGAGGGAAGACAACTCTGTCTGAAAGACTTGGAGGGCATGGGGCAGCTGACGGAGCTCCACCTTCCTGTATGGGGCATGACGCATGAAGACATGGAGGGTTTACAGAACTCTCAGAGACTGTGTGCGTCGATCAGATTTCTAAGCCTGATAGCGGTGGGAATCCGGTCTTTAGATTTGTCTGCTTTTCTTGAGATTATGAAGGGTCTGAGAAAGCTTGAGATTAAGGATTCTACCCACTTGGAAGAGCTGGTCTTCAACACGAACCAGCTCTTGAAGCTGGAGGAACTGAGATTGGAAGATCTTCCCCGAGCAAAGATCTCTTGGAAAGATGGCAACGTGTTTGTGAGGGGGCCCACCACAGCTGCCATCTTCAAGACCTTTGTGGAATGTGAAGCATTGGAGGACATAACCTGGATCAGACAACAGCCGTCCATTGAGAAGTTAACGCTAAGGGGATGCTCGAAAATAAAAGAGTTGATGGTAGTCGAAGAGGTGATGGTGGACAACGTGGCTTGTGGAAATGATTCTTTTTTTCCCAAATTAAAGGAGATTTACTTAGATGGTCTTCCAAAGTTGAGGAGCATATGTAGGCATCCCTTGTTGTTTCCTTCCTTGGAGGAAATCAAAGTATATGGCTGTCCACAGCTGAAGAAGCTACCCTTTGGGCTCTCTACTGCCAAGAACATCCAAAAGATCCGTGGTGAATAAGAATGGTGGGATCGATTGCAGGGGGACCATGAAGACTTCCGGCCCAAGTTTACCCCTTATTTTAACGAATATCTTAGTGAGGAGGAGGAGTAGAAGCATGTGCAGAAGTCAACCTGAGACGGAGATAAGAATGATTGGCTCAATCTCGAAGAACTCAACCTACGAACAGGATGGCTCCACCTGATTCTCTGCCAACGCCGGCAGCGACAACTGCACCGGTTGCAGTGTGAAGAAGCCTCCTTGTGAATATGCTCACCCAAAAGAAACCTATAAATGTGAATAAAACGTTGAAAATAATGCCTCATGTTAGCACATCTGGAGTCAATGTAGGAATTATAGAGCTAATGAGCACATGGACTTCATAAAAACCAAACTAATCTGCAAGAAAAAACGGAACCGACAGCTGGATAATTTGAAATGTTTTTGCCTATTTTGTGTGGATATGCTTCCAGAACATAACCTGAGGAATGGAAAGGTATCCAAAGATGGCAAGTTAGCCAGCTCACTCCAGACAGAAAACCTCTCGCAGTAATGGGCTCGGGTGGAGATTAGTATAAGTATGAGCTCAGATAATTCAAAATCCGGGGTCCTACAATAGTTTGTTATATACGAATTTGTTCTTGACTGACGTAGTTTTGTATTAATCAGATCCAAATAATAAGATGGTAACACCATTTAATCAAATGGAATTAGCACTGATCATTAAATTACCTAACCCAAGTAGAAGAAGGAGAAACTTCGAACAAAGTGTCACTGACAGAACTAATTTATGTGCGCGAAATCATAACTGAGGAAACAATGTGAAAATTTAGCCAAATTACTCTACCTGATGCAAAAAAAAGAAAGGTTCAAGAGAAACTTTGATTTCCAAAAGAGATTAGGCATGCTACAAATAGTCAATACCTAAACTGAAACTAACAATTGATCAGCGGATGAACATTATTGTTCCACTATACTGTACAAGCTATATGAATCCGAGAGCATTGAGCTAAATCATGGTCTTCTTTTGAAAAAAAAAATTGCATATAGAGAGACATTGAACGTCAAAAATAAGACACTGAAACCTACACAATGATACAGTAGTGAGAGCACATACAGAGAAGGGCATGCTTCGCGTTGACTTACATATGCCAGACCGACATTCTCATCCTGAAAAAAGAAAGGAAGATGTATAAATATCAAAACCATCTGCATTCAAGGAAACCAACCACAAGAAACTACAAGATGCACATTGAGGAGCTTTTTTGCTTGTAACGGGGACAAATGGGTATTTGAACCCATGAATTTCAGCATTTGTTCTTCTCTCACAACCCCCTAGAAACCACAAGGTCCAGCATTTTAAATAGATTGAAAAAAATATGCCCAACAATTGAACAAGCAAGCATAAAAAGTTGGAAATAATTGATATTATACAGTACATAAAATAAAAGGAACAGCTCTTTTTGGACCTTAGGAGGCATCCAATCAACACCATGAAGTAGGCTAGTCTCTCAGTAACAAGCTCTCACTGTGACAACAAACAATGTGCTCCTGAAGAATGTGCCACAGGAGTAGAGCCTGATAAATAGAAAAGTTGTCAGAACGATTTTCTTAAAACCTAATGGGAAAAAAGATAGCCAAAGAATATATATCACCTGGCTCCCCATCAAAAGCAAGGCAATAGGCCTTCAGTTCACGGTCTGTCTCTCTATTCACTGACCTTTTTCAACTTTCCATTCTCAGGCTCCAGAGGAAGAACATCCTTTAAAACACCTTGCACCTCCTCAAAACCCAGATGCCCACCTGTTAGCACCTCTCTTAGAGCACCGACCAATCTCATCTCAGCAGTGCTCTGGCCAAGAAATTGAGGGACAACAGAGCTGCCTCCTATTATTGTACCCTCAGGATCTGCTATAAAGATAATATCAGGAGAAAGAACTTGAACCAGCTGTGTCCAGAATTCCTTCATCACACGTGCCTCTCCCTCACTCCATTGTGTGTCTTCTGGAAATGCATTTTCACGTATTGTCATCTCAAAGAGTTACGAACTAAAGGTGCGAGTTCTCGTCAGTAACTCGATCAATATTTCCATAGTTAATATGATGAGAACCTTGAAAATTTTCAAAGCGTTAACAGCTAGAAAAACCACACTAGTCCAGGAATGGTGAATCAGGGACACCTATATAAACAATGCTGCGTGAATTGCTGAAAAAGGGGGCAGGAAAATCAAAATGCTGGATTATTCTATTTAATTAAAAAGGGGAAGGAAGTGATGAGGTATCTTCGCCGCCCCAGAATTGAAACAAGTCTGCATGTGGAGGGGGAGAGAGAGAGAGAGAGAGAGAGCAACTATTGAAGTCAAAGACTCCAAGAGTAATTCAACCTGAACGGAGGATTGTGCCGAAAACTTCGAAGGCCTGTTCTTTCCTCTGCGGTCTCATCTGGATCGGTCCCGCGCAGACCCTTGCCTGGGCTTCCACCACCGTCTGATTCGGCGAAGCGATCCATGACGGCCGGTGCGAAGAAGACAATCCTACGGAAAGAAAAATGATATCTATGATTTTAGGGAAGTTATTTTATGGAGATCTATGATTCATGTTGTCTTGGGTAGAACTAAAACATCTTCTTCATCCACCTGGGCACAGTTTTGACATCTACCACACCAGGTCCAGGCCAAAAGTTTCTGGACGTTTATTTTCAGACAAATATGATTGATGCTGCTATGATTAGGGCTGAAGTGTCGACACCTGCCCGGTAAGAAAAACAAGGGTTATCAATTTCTGGAAGTTATCTTACAGATAACTTCGATTGATGTTCCCATGCTTAGAACTGGAACATCTTCTCCAGCCACAGATATTTGAATCGTCATTTATTTATGTCGGTCATTTTTACATTATTCACTGTATACGATCACTTTTTAATTTTTTTTCCCTGTGGATATACCCTTTCGGAGACTAGTGTAATTTTTTCATTCTTGATTTCTAACAGGACGAGACTGGTAGCCGTAGCAGCACAGAAGTTTATTGCAGAGGTTGCGAGTGATGCTCTTCACTAGGTCTCCATCCATAATATGATTCTATTCGCTCTAAAAATCATGCAAAAATGTCTCAAAGTCCATAATATGAATTTTTTTTCCAATGATGGGAAAAAAACATATAATCATGACAGTTCATCACAAATGTCATCCATTCCTCCAATGTGTGACTCGCTTCCAGTGGCATGGTCTTAGATATGATTATAAAAACAGATCAAGATTTATATTCATTATAATTGGAATAATTTTTAATTAGAGAAACACAGAGTCATGCATCGTTTCATGTTGGTTGACTGCATCAACTGGCCTGATCATATCTTTCTACAGGTTATGAAACTAAGTAGAGCGTTTCTAAACGTGTCTGTCAAGCATAATACAATCATTGTGGAAAACAGGGTACATACACCATTTAGGACGAGATGCTTCCAAGGAAACTAAAAGTCAGAAGACTCTAGAAAGCAAAATGGAAATGATATGATCAGCAGAAACACAGGCAAACCAAAAGATCAGGGAGGACATAGACTGCAACAAACCAAATTTTCGTTGTCCAATGATAAGAAGATGTCAACAAGAACCCACACTAAATAGGATCTCATAAAGAATGAGTGGAGATATGCAACGATGGTACTTCCGAAACTACATCTGGGAAAAAATTGTGGATCATTTTAAAGGTCCCCAGACAAACTCTCTGTCAAGAGAAATAATGAATGGGCCAAGTCAGCAACAATGGCATGCCAAAATTTTAGATTGAAAAGGGGAACATGCATAGACCCATGATGATCAGTACACTAACATCTATAATGCCACTGCAGGTCAACTTCAGTCCCCTGTTCAAGGTTAAAAGCATATATAGTCGTTATATTTAGGGAAAACAACAGACAGAGGAATACCAGCTTGGTATATGTGATACCAGGGGGCACAGATAAAGTCAACGAGAGAAGTAATTCGTCAGTTGATACATCAATAGATGATGATTCTGATTACCAAAATACATGTGTTTTAAAAAGTTGACGCCACCAATAAACTTTAAATTTTCATCATCTACGTTGATATGTTATGCACAGGACGATGGTATGGGAATGAAACTCGGTACAAGTGTAACCCTTTTTAACTGATGAATCTGTCTGCAAGAGCCAAAAACTTTCTAAAACGTATATATAATTGGATTCGATAATAGTCATTGACCATACGAAGGTATTTTTCATCATTAAAATTCGACCACAATTTTTCCTTGACTTAGAATCTATCAAGCACAAATCAGCCGGTTGCATGAATCTATTATCCATAAATACTATACGATAGAGTTTCACAGACATTTGGAGATAGAACTCACGCACATTAGAGTATGCTTTGTAAGCTACAGAAAAAGACAATTTGTGCGATTGAAACGTATACAACTCACATTACATGTATTATTTTCTGCATAAGGGAACGAACTATGAACACCTTACATATTGGAAGCAGCTTCTTTGCAAATTACTCTGTAATTTACCATGGCTAAAATCTGTGAATACGAGACTGATATAGCGTGGACATCATCAGTGAATTTTCCATGGCCAAGGAGGACGACGCCGGCGAGGGCTTTGGGAGCGTGCCGAAGCAGTTTCACCACAACGGAAGGCCATCTCCGCCGTCCAGGGCAACGAGGATGCCTACATTGGAGAGGAGGACAAGGACTAGGATGACCCGTACAACAACCTGTACCACGTAGAGGAGAGCTTCCTCCAGACGCTCCGCAGGGGCGAGGATGCGGGTTTCCCTCGGGAGGCGAAAATGAAGAAGAAGTCGGAGACATTGCCGCCACTGCCGCCCCCCCTCCACCGTTGGCGTTACCTCGGAGGCCTCCTTCCCTGCCAGTGATGCAGCAACAGCCTCCGCTCTTGCCGCCCCCTCCCCCTCTGCAGCAGCAGCCGCCGCTTTGGGGATCCTGCGGGCGGGAGAGGCATCGATGGAGGAAGTTACGGTGTGAATCTCTCAATGGTGGAGGAACCGGTGGTGTTGTCGCTGGCAGCGAGACGGAGAATCAGGTGAAGCCATCCCTTGTTGGCTTGTGGCACCACATTATATGACTGAATTTCTGAGCTCCTCAATTTTGGAAGATTATATGGCTCAATCCACATTAAACTAGAGGCTATATGGCTCAAATACCCCTTTAGAATTTAGTGGGGGAAAAAAGGGGGTAAACATGGATCGGACGTCTTCATGCTCCCACTCTAATCCATCCCACCATTCTTGTCCACCATAGATCTCTTTGATGTTCTTGGCAGTAGAGAACCCAAAGGGCAGCTTCTTCAGCTCTGGACAGTTGATTACATGGACTTCCTCCAAGGAAGGGAGCAACAACGGATGCCTACATATGCTCCTCAAATTCGGAAGATCTTCCAACCAAATCCGCTTTAATTTAGGGAAGAAAGAATCATTTTCATAATCCACGTTGTCCACCGTCACCTCTTCGACTACTATCACCTCTTCTATTCTCGAACATCCAAATAGTGTTAACTTCTCAATGCAGGGCAGTTGTCTGATCCAGATTATGTCCTCCAATGCTTCACAGTAGAAAATATCCAAGACCCGAAGGTTTTGAAGATGCCAGCTGTGGTGGGCCCCGTCACAAACACGTTGCCATCTTTCCAATGCACCGTTGCTCGGGAAAGATTAAACAAGCTCAGTTCCTCCAGCTCCGAGAGCTGGTTCTTGTTAAAGACCAGATCTTCTAAGTCGGGAGAAAAGTTAATCGTAAGCTTTCTCAGGCCCTTCATAACCTCAAGAAAAGCAGACAAATCAAAAGACGAGATTCCCACATATTCAAGGCTTAGAAATCTGATGGACGCACACAGTCTATGAGACTTCTGTAAATCCTCCATGCCTCTCTGCGTCATGCCTCTTATACTAACACCGAGCTCCGTCAGCTGCCCCATGCCCTCCAAGTCTCTCAGACTGAGTTGTCCCTCATCATGAGCACTCCCAGAATCGCTGCCATCGTCCTCCCAGTCTCCTGTAAAGACATAATCACTTTCAAGCAAGTTCAGCGACTGCAGCCCTTTAAGCGATAAGACCGCCTCGCGTGGGATACTCGTAAGATAAGAGACGTGCTCCAAACGCAATTGTCTCAGCTTCGTCAACCTCCCTACCTCCATGGGCAATGATTCCAGGAGAGTCCCTGATAGATCGAGAAACCGGAGTTCAACCAGTGACCCGATTCCCGAGGGGAGAAGCCTTATACTCCTATAGGACAAATCTAGAACACGAAGTCTCCTCATGAACTGGAAAAAGCCAAGGGGGAACTTAAGGCGGATTTCCTCCGGATGAAAGTTATTGTCATTGTCATTCAGCAACAGCGTCTGCAGATTGCGGCAACGAGGCTTCTTGGGGAGCTTACTTATCCTGTTGTACATGAGAGATATCCTTCTTGCCTCCGCCCATCTTTCCGGCTTCGGCACGCAGGTCAACCACTCACTGGGGTTCACCAAGAAGATATTCCCCTTCTCTTCGCCTTTCCCACTGGTTATCCACAAGGCCATATTACGGACCGTGTCATGGAGCTTCACCTCTCTTCCTTTGACCTTCCCGTCTTCTAGCAGGCAGGCAGCCTTGAGACTGCGGATGACACCGAGGCCGCGGTCACGAGCTCTGTCAATGGTGTCGGGATAGGTTCCACTATCTAAGAGCCCTTCGCCCACCCAGTAATCAATGAGCTGAGGTATCTTGATGTTCTCATCCTCTGGGAAGAGGGCGAAAGTAGAGAAGGCACTCCCTAGCGGATTTATCTTCCAATCTGTCGAAACTGAACTTGAGACTCTCTAGAACCTTCTTTTCCATGTCTCCGAGACCCGGGGGTATGCCTTCCAGGTCCTTGAGAGCATCTTTCCACTCGCCAAGGGTGGTGGCACCCGCCATGGCCCGGCCTACGGTGATGAGAGTGATCGGCAGGCCTCCACACTTTTTACAAACGTCTTCTGCCTGAGATCTCACGGAGGGATCCCACTGGTCTTCTCCCCTTCCCAGCTTTTGGCAGAAGAGCTCCCAAGAGCGTGCTTGATCCAAGAGGGGCACCTGAACTTTCCACTCAGCGTCCATCCTGTTGCACACTTCCACTAAGCGTGTGGTAAAGACTATCTTGCTTCCGTTCCTGTCGGAAGAGGAGGAGAAGGGGACACCTACAGCGCCGAGGTCTAGTTTCTCCCACAGGTCGTCCAGCAGCAGAAGGAACTTCCTCTGGGAGAGGGCCCTCCGCAGGGTATTGACCCTGTCGGTTGGATGCTCTGTGAGGGTCTTTCCCTGGCCTTTTCCGGGGCGAGAGTAGCCCAACCGGACGGCGATTTCCTCTTGAACCTTATGGACATCAAGTTCCTTGGAGACGGTGACCCAAATCACCAGATCGAATTGACTGGATCCCCTGTGGAGGAACTCGTTGTTGATCGCCTTCAATAGGGTCGTCTTCCCTATTCCCCCCATGCCGTAGATCCCGATGACTGGCGCTTCATCGCCCTCCACGAGGCTGCGGATCTCCGACAACGTCTCCTCCGCGCCCACGTTGTCGTATAGTGAAGAGCTTGGCAGCTCAACCACCGCGGGTGGGGGAGCCTGGATGAGTAGGGGGAGGAGATCGCTCTTCTGGGTCTTCAGCCTCTGGACTTCTTTCAGGCACTCGGCAGCTTCACAAGCGAGCTGATAGGAGGATCGCAAAGAAGAGCCCTCAGAGGAGGCCCCCCTCTGCTGTAAGGAAAGCCGGAATTTGTCCACCCTGGCCTCGATCTTCCCCACTAGACTGAGCCAAGTCTGCGTCTGGTGGGTCGGCCTCTTGTTCTCAAGCTCGCCGGTTCTAATCTCCTCCGAAACATCATTGCTAATGGCCCTCAGCTCTTCCATCTCCCTGTCCAGCTCCTCTGCCTTGGGGTTCAGCGAAATGACGGTGGCGACTGCACGGGCGGCCAGATTTGACACCCAGGCGGCGACCTCCCCCGTGCTGCTCTCCAGGAAACTTTGCAAATTCATGCTGATAATCTAGGTTTTCTGCGTTTTCTGCCTAGGGATCAGAGAGAGAGAGTAATGGCTGCGTTTTCTGCCTAGGGATAACAGGCGAGGGAAGTACATACCCAACATACACCGGTCATTTCTCATCTGCACCTCGAGGTTTGTCGGGTACGAGCGTACGGCTCACCGCACCGCTGGAAAGATCAGAAGCGGGCAGCCTGGTCCAGACTATTTGACTGGTCCACAACTTAAATTAGCTTCTTCTTTAAGAACAGAATCTTCTGTAGCATTGACCAAGGTACTTAAGTTGTTGGGGGAGAAAGCAAATCTTGGTCAAAGGATAAAGAGCTAAAACATTAATCGTATGGTTGAGGCCTCAAGAAAACTCTTTGATCCCTTGCCAGAAAAAAAATACGCAACCGTTGAATGTTCTAAAATGATGGCTTATTTTCTCCCTTCCCCAACAAGGAAAATTAAATAAATTTGGCTTGTAAGTATACTACATTCCTTACTATTAAATTTAATATTTTTTATTACTTGGAGGTGATGTTAAGGGGGTGATTTATAAGACCTGTTTGTCTCACTCCTAATCCTTATTTAGGTGAACATATAGAAATTGTTGGGTATGTTTCTTGTTCTCTTTTGAGGTCGTTGACTTTGTCCTTTTCGTTGACATTTTTTTTCCTGCTTGAGTGAGTGCCTTTGTAATTTATGAATTCCATTCGAATTTCTTAACTCATTAGTTTGTATTTCATGTGTTGTAGATTCAAAGTTCAAATATTATTAAATATTATGCCTTGAACCAAATATTCTACTGAAAATTACTCAATAATATTTCTTCTAGTGGACTTTTTGGTCGTCTATGCTTTGCATAAATATAGTTAAAAATTAAATAACTATTTGACTTGTAGAAATTTAAAGTCTTAATGTTAGACTAAATTTCAGTAGGGTTTTAGAGCATTTGTGGAGAGAAGAGAGAAGAGAGAGAGAGAGAGAGAGAGAGAGAGAGAGAGAGAGAGAGAGAGGTCTTAATATACCTAGTACTGATCTGGATAATGTTCAGTCCTGCTTTTCGATATGATTACCCGACCAAGCTGCCGGTTCGATCACCGACGGTGATGTGTGGTAAGCTGGACAGTCAAGTGTTGACTTCTGGTGTGTTTGTACCATCAATCTCTGCCGTTCATTTCGGTGAAATCGGCCGATGGGGATTCGATAGACCTTTGATGACGATGGATCAGGAGGAGAGAGAGCGCCTTCTCTTATCTCTCTGGTCCGGCGCGAGATTCGCCATGGAGGACGACGCCGGCGAGCGCTTCGGGGATGTGCTGGATCATTTCCACCGCAGCGAGGCCATCTCCGCCGTCCAGGACGAGGACGCCTATCTTGGAGAGGGGGACGAGGACAACGGCGACCTCTACAACGACGTCAAAGTGGGGGAGAACTTCCTCCAGACGCTCCGCAGGGGCGAGGACGCGGTTTTCCGCCGGGAGGCGGAGGTGGAGAAGAAGCCGGAGGCATTGCTGCCATTGCCGCCGCCCCCAGCGTTGCCGTTGTCTCAGAGTCCTCCTTCCCTACAGGTGATGCAGCAGCCTCCGCTCTTGGCCTTCCCCCCCCCTTCCCTCGCTGTAGCAGCATCCGCCTTCGAGGTGTTATAAGAGTATCGAAGGCATCGAAAATATAGTTTTCATACTGACCAATACAAACATCATTCCTCATTTACGTTTAAAATATATATATATAGTTGAGACAGGTGCAAAAATAGTAAAGAATAATAAGGTTTCTAAAAATATTCCACATTTTCATGGGTTGGAATGCAAATTGAAACTCTTCAGTGCCTTCTGTCTGAAGATTTTACTGGTCTTGGTCACGCTGTTAGGTATCCATGTTTTTCTTATTTCCTCGTGTCATGTTCTCCTCCACATAGAGGCCTACTATTTATTCCATGACCACATGCTTCAATTACCCACCAACGGAATTACTCAGATGTTACGCAAAATGCAAGAAAATCATAATATTACCAATATGGTGATTCAAAATAAGGGGTAAACTTGGATCGGACGTCTTCATGGTCTCACTCTAATCGACTCCACCATTCTTGGTCACAATGGATCTCTCTTGGATGTTCTTGGCACTAGAGAGCTTCTTCAGCTCTGAACAGAGTTCTACAGAGACTCTCTCCAAGGAAGGAAACGACAAGGGATGCCCACATATGCTCCTCAAATTTGGAAGATTATACAATCGAATCCACTCCAATTTAGGGAAAAAAAAAGGCTTTTTCATAATCTACGTCGCCCACCATCCCCTCTTCAACGACTATCAGCTCTTTTATTTTCCAGCAGTCTCCTAGGGAGAAGAGCGCAATGCAGGGCAGTTGTCTGGTCCAGGTTATGTCCTCCAAAACTTCACGTTCGAAACTTGACAAAACCCGAAGGTTTTGGAAGATGGCACCTGTGGTTTTGGAAGATGGCACCCGAAGCTTCACAAACACGTTGCCATGTTTCCTCGGATTCAGCTTTTCGTTTCTAATGATTTTAGATGCAATTTACTAACAACGAATTTTAGATGATTTGTTTCTAAATCTAGTTCTCGATGTAGTCTATTTTCTAATCAAACACAGCTTTTCGTGTTTGAGGTTAAATGAAATACAAAAAATGATCGTGAAAGTCAAAGCCTTCTTCCTGTAAGAGCGGTTGACCTTTGAAGAGGGTGTTCTTCTCGAATCTCCTTGATCTGTGGAATACGCGTTGGGCCACGGGGATCGTCGGGCCCCTTTCACCATTAGTGGGTGGTCTCTTGGGGGCACAACTGGGGCTAGCCCAGAGCATCTCCAGCCCTAAAATTACTGATCAGTCGGCCAAAGTTTTCTTTTGCCGGAGAAGTGGGTAGGTGTTCAATTCCCCAGTCTCCCTTCACTTCCCGGAAGGAGTACGGCGTCGGCTGCCCTGCTTCCTCCCCAGTGATTCTTCTTTGCAGGAGTGCTCGACCCCTGAGGCTCCCGATCTTCTCTCTCTGTTTATTAATCCGGGGATTTGCCGATTCCGTTGGTGCCCATTTTCTTATGTCCATCTCTTCCTCGAAGTTCATTTGTTGGATTTCAATATGAGCGGCTCTGTTACGGCAACCGGTTTGGGTTTGCGCAAGGTGATGATTCCTAAGCGGGTGTTATTACCTTCTTTTTATTTTTTGCTGAGATGCTGTGGTGCGTCGTGGTAGCTGGCGTTCCCACAGTCTACATTGGGAGTTTTTTTTTTTTCATTTATATGGATTAATTTGTCGTCCTCTAGGCTTCCTCTCTACTTTGGCAGATTTTTACTTTACTTTGTTGAAGGAATAGTTGTCGACTCTCCCTCTGCCTCAAGATGTCACGCTATCTCCTTTCAGTCCAGGCGGGAGTAAATAAGTTCCTGAATTACCATGCATAAGAAGTTTGGGGAAGGCCTCTGCTGTCTCTCACTTAAAATTGTCCTGTGTTTCCGTCGTTCACTTCAATAGAACCTGCTTACACTAGAAACGCTTTTCCGTTGTTTTCTCTCCCCTTATTACTCTCAGAGTGCTCGTGTCTTCTTTCATCCCTCTGACTCTGCTTTCTGGATCTTGCCTCTAAGTTGCTGATATTTTATTTTATTTTGCTACAGTTCTTTCTTAACAGCGTAGTGAGTATAAAACTTTGCTGGTCTATCAACCAATCATTTACTGCATGGAGATGTTTTATACCGCCGCTAATTGAGCTTAATCCATGTGACAGTGGAAACATATTGCACACTTACTTGGTAGTGAGAGGGAGAACGCAATATTAGGAATAAATTCCTCGAATCCATGTTAGAGGAAGAGAGAAAAGAGTAACAAACGGAAACGACTATGGCTGTCTCACATGGTTCAGATGTCTCTAAATTCATGGCTGCGCTGCGTTCATTGTGTTGAAGGTCTTATCAGTGCAGGGGATGGGTACTCTTAGAATCTGAGGCGGCTAGGGCAACACACCATGGGTGAGAAAGTTACTATTTTTCCAAAAGATCTGGAAAACAAGGGACTAATTTACCATGGTGGAAGTCTGTCTCCAGACTCCAACAAGAAAGATGAAATCAGCTGGGTACAAACCTGGTGACCTCTTTGGCTTGCTAAGTATCAGTTCCTGCTTGCCACACACTCATGCTAGTTGGAGGTCGGTTAGCAGCAAGTGGAATCATCCATGTTTCAAAAAAGCACAAATGCTTTTTCATTGTTGGAATGCAATTTAGTCTCACAATGGTAGGCTGCTTGGCCTCATTTTTTGATACTGTCGTTGAATTTTTTCACTGTTAGTTCAGAGAGGTCATAGAATATTTGCATTGGTTGTTTGGGATTGGATGGGTGACATTAGCAAGCGTTGAATAATGCATTGTGGTTCAGTAGGTTAGTTTTGAACTTGAGGCTCTGGATACATATCTGGTAAACTTGGATTTTTTTAACGATTTAATCCACTATTGTATTTTCCTTAGAGTAATTTACAAGATGGCTGCCGAAATTAATCTATGGACATTTGAAAGAATGGTTCCATAGTATTTCACCAAATCAAAGCCACCTGCTACGTTCATGGTTGTGTTGTAGGTTATTTTAGGTATTGCAGGATGCTGTGTCTTATTGCCTTTTATCAGAGGTCACGGTTGCTTGGTGTCTTCTTGTCTATATGAATAAGGAGGAAGTTGAGACATTAGGAAGATCAGTCCTGGATGGAATTGCTTTACAAAGTGTTTGCTAAAATTTGGTGTATTAGAGTCATATATCAGAGTCAGATATGATGGTGTTCAGAATCGGTTTGGGAGGTGTTTAGTCACAATTTATCTAGAATTTTAATTCTCTCATTACAAAACATCAAAATCTATTGGTTGCTTCTCACCATAAACCTTAAACTTAGGCATAGGTGGCTTAAAGTTTTGCTTCCTAGTATAGAAATATGACTTGCTCTCATGTCAAAATGTTCACTTTTCATTACTCCAATACTTAAGCACATCTGGTAATGTTCTGTTGAATGTGTTGCCTATAATTCAGTATTTATATACGATATATCTGTATTCAACTATGAATTCCATCCTGATTGTTGTGCTTTGGGAAAAGAGAGGGCTATTATTAGGCTTGATGCTGTACGAACCTGGGATGTTTTAGCAAGATACTAGAGATGATGGAGAACAGAATAGGAGAGTAGATGTCTTTGCCTCCATTAATGTAGTTGTTAGAGAACAATATTCTAAACTCTATTGAATTCTCATGAGCCTTCCGGTTGTGTAAACCTTGAGTTTTAGCCCTGCATATGATATTTGATCGTTCAATTCCAATTTCTTTTTGCACCCAGAAGACTATGTAAACAGTGACCCATTAATTAAAAATCCCACAACATAATGTTGGGAAATTGATGAACGATGAAATATGAAAGCAGGGAAAAAAATATAGAATTATTTAATTAACTATTTTTTATGCCTCTTGTTTAGCTCATCTGCTGCATCAATGTTAACAGATATATGGTTACAAAGATATCCATTTTCAAGGAATTGGAAGCAAACTCTTCTTTGGAAAATTTACCCTTAAGTTTATGAAAGCTTGGCCATTGTGTTGGGTCAGGTAAATTGTTTGGCTTTATAACATTCCTCGGTGTTTTCCTCGGTGTTTGACTAGATAAAATTTTCTCTTGGGTATACATGGCTAAAGAACCCCAATAAACCTCATAAATGAATGATTTATTGGCCCATATGGACGGTTTGACCGTGGGAAAGATGGATTCAATATGTATATTCAAATTGCCCATTTGTTTCCTCATCCTCATCTATCATCTATCATTTCTCCTTTTCCCCCGCCATCTTTTTAGTAAGGGTAGATTGATATTTTTGCACTATTCTTGGGTCGATCAGTCCCGATTCCAACCTCTTAGGATCCAGTGTTTGATTCTTGGGTATCCAATTTCCTTTGAAAGATGAAAATCAAAATAGCTGATGTCTTATTCTTCAAAATCTTTGCAAGACCGTAAAGGTAAATCATATGAATTGGCAATATTGACATTTTCATTTCCTAATTGGTATCAACTCGCTCTAACAAAATGTATAGTATTCTATCAGTTGTATTTACTCAACTTAAACCATTTGTTCATCTGTTTTTTCACTCAGAGATTGCATATTTACTCAATGGTTATAGGTCTGAAGAAATCAACTGTTTCCCATTGGGAACAAAGGTCGCCAGCAGCCTTACCTACGGCAACCCCACACCATGATGGATCCCAACCCATTCATCCCTGACGTCCCTCCCCCACACGGTCCCTTCTTCGACATGCTCCCACCCCCAGAAATCATGGAGCAGAAGCTCATTATCCAGCACAGCGAGATGCAGACGCTTGTGCATGAGAACCGTAGGCTTGCTTCCTCTCATGTGACCCTAAGAGAGGATTTAGCCACAACGCAACAGGAACTTCAGAGGATGCATACACAGATTGGCCTCATGAAGGCAGAGAAAGAACAGAAGATGAACGGCTTCCAAGATAAGATCATGAAGATGGAGGATGATCTTTCGGCATCTGAGGGCATTAAAGTGGAGCTCCAGAAAGCTCACGCTGAAGCCCAGGATCTGCTCTCTGTCAGAGAGGAGCTGATCTCAGGAGTCCAGCGTCTGACCCAGGATCTGCGGCGTGTTCATGCCGGCATCCAGCAACTCCCAGCCCTGATGTCTGAGCTGGAGGGTTTCAAGAGAGAATATCATGACTGCAGGTGACAAACAAATTCCTTGGTCAACGTTGACCCAGTGGGAGATACTCTGAGCTTATGCTATTTCTATGTCGATGCAGGATTACTTATGAGCATGAGAGGAAACTCTACAGTGACCACCTCGAGTCACTTCAGGTGATGGAGAAGAATTATCTTTCTATGCTGAGAGAGGTGGAGAAGTTGAGAACTGTGCTGGCCAATTCCTCGAGCTCTGACCCAAGGCCTGGTATGGTTTGTCTTTCCTTCTTTTTTTTTATTTTTCAATATTCATTGTGCTTGAGTGGTTTAGGTGAATGCAGGTGGGCAGTATGGGACTAATGCGGGGTACCAGGAGAGTGAGGCGTATGCTCCAAGCGCACCTTCACAGGGTCAAAATGCTTATGAAGATGTTTACAATGTTCATCAGGTGATCATGAGCTTAGTTCCCTGCCTTCTTCTTGGGCTTTTTTGATATTGTTGAGCAATACGATGTTGTTCGTCAGACCAGCTAATTCTTCCATCTCAATCTATTTTTCAACCAATTTAATCTGATCCCCATATCATCTCTCGACCAATCTTTCTGGTTCCAGTTCTTGCAACCTCCATCGCACCTAAATTTCCTCTTTCCCTTGCTTTCGAGATGCAGGGACGAACCCCACCTGGTGGAGCAGCCTCTCATGGTGACCCCACTGGCGGAAAGTATGATACCACCCGAGGCGGCGATGGCGGCAGTGGTGGTGGCATCGGTGGCAGCGGCTATGATGCTTCAAGAGGTGGTGGCGCCGCCGCCACTAGTTATGACACTTCCGGAGCCACACCATATTATGCCTCTAGGCTGTCGCCATATGACATTGGGCCCAGAGGAGCAGCTGCAGGCTATGAATCCACCGCCAGGGCTGCCGCCATGTACAGCAGACCCCCTAGCAGCACTCAGGCTGCTGTTGCCCCAGCACCCGCCACCACCGCTGCCGCAACTTATCGGGTAGGGCCTGGTCGTGCCGGAGGTGACCGAGACCAGCCCCGTGGCAGTGGCAGTGGGAGATGGTGAGGGTGGAGTTTAACTCCGCAGTCAACAATGTATTTAAAGTCAATCCTCTGGCCTTTTTCTGTCTTTACTTGCATCCCCTGGTTTCTGTCATTACTTGCATATTCCCACAATTTTCACACTTCATCTCTCTCTCTCTCTCTCTCCCTCAGATCTATGTTTTGGGTTTTTACCCGGGTCAATGTGAGCCTGGGCCTTGAAGACGATATCGGCCTCATTAGCCAAATTTTGGGCTGACTACGGGCCCAAAGAGTGCAATAAATGGGCCTAAAGTCCGGTCCTAGGAACAAACCGTTGGGACTTTTGAAGGTTAATATGCAATATGTGAAAAGTTTAAGGTTTTTAGAATGATATGGCTCCAACCACGGAGAGAGCAACACATCGACCCAGCCCGTTCCGACCGGTGCCTCCACTCTTCTATAAATCGGTGACTCTGTCTCTCTTTTCCTCCCTCCCTCTCTCCCTCTCTCCCTCTCTCTCTCTGCCTCGCGTACGGCCGGCCGTTCCAAGTGGAGGACGATGAATTACCATCTCAACCCCCAGGAGCAACAGCAGCAGCCACAGCAGCACCAGCAGCAACAGCCGCCGCAGCACCTGCAGATCCCGTCGCCGGCGGGCGAAGCCAGGCACGACGACGATGCCCCTCTGGCAGAGTTCCTTGCTTCCCTCATGGACTACACCCCCACCGTGAGTAGTAAATTTATACGGGCCTCCATGTTCTGCCCTCTTCCTTTTGTTTATTTTTCGCGCGCATATTGGTTAATTATGATCCGTCGCCGGGTTCTGCAGATACCCGACGAATTGGTGGAGCACTACCTTTCGAGGAGCGGTTTCCAGTGCCCCGACCTGAGACTGTAGACGCTTCCTTCCTCTTATCATCTTTCTGTTTCAATCTATTCCACCATTACACTCGTGGATCTATATTTGAAATTTTGTGCTTATATGTCGATGTGTTTAGAGCTATCATGCCGTAATAAAATCGAATTCAGTTTTTCTTAATATTGATTTTGTTAATTGAAAAGAGTTTTTCACTGACTTACGCTTGATCGTTTCCATTTTTTGTTTGTCTTTTAACTGGGAAGAGAAATGAAGCTCAGCATCAGTCTTACAGTATATATCTCTGATGAAATCATCAATGGCGGATATTTCAGGTGAAGAGGAAGAAGAAAGAAAAGAGTTTAGTGTCTGAAGATTGGGGAGGGGGATTATTGACGACCTTGGTCATTCACTGGAGGGGTAGGATGTGGCACGGGAACAAGGTTTGAAACTAGGAGGAATGGCGGGGCACAGTCTGCATTCTTCTGTCTTCAATAGTCTATCCCACTTCTGCTTTGGTTCTTGTGCCAGAAGAAAATTTTATGTCTATTGACTTGGACTTTTATGTTAGTCAAATTCCTCAAAGAGTTGCATCCCTTTCAAGAACAAATGCTTTTGAAGAGCTTTATGTTCCTAAGCTCCCTCTGTATCCCACATAATAACTCCTGGCTTCACTCATCTATTAGAAGTTCACACCCTCTCTTCCACCAACAAGACTGCCATCATATCCATTTGAGCACACCGTATTCTTTCCCTGGAGGGCAACCACTGCTTCATCACCTGCTTTTCGTTCTATTTACTGTGTGATTTCCCTCCTTTGTATGGCAGGAGTGTCATAACGGTGCCTGGGCTCACCTCTAGAAGTGAGGCCTAGGATTCAACTCATATGAATACCCAAAAAGATCTGATATGCCTCTGTGGACGAACCCAGGTGCCTCCATGGATTTATCAGCAAAAATTAGGCTCCCTTGTCATAAAAAATGTCATGGCGGTATTAAGCCTTCAAGGAAATGTCTCTCTCTTTGATGCTGTGGCAACGGCACTATGCCCATGGACTGTTATGGATGTCATAAGGGAAGAAGGTGCTTTGTCTAGATGCCATGCTTGTGTTCCTCCTTTCTTCCTTTGCTCAAGCATGGGACTGTGCCACGAGTAGGAATGAAAGCCCAGATGCCTGCGATTTCAGCGAGTAGATTTGGTGGATGATGATGCCGTTATATTTTACTCCTCTTTGAAGGAATCTATTCAGAGGATTATGAATACCCAGAATAGATCACATGGTTTTCCACTGATTCTGGCTAGAAACACACGATGGAGAAGTTTTGACTCACCCATGAAGGAGCTCATGGAAGGAAAATGAAATCAAGAAGGTTATTCCATCACTGGAAGTTATTTAATGGACATCTATGACTGATGTCGTCTTGGGTAGAACTACAGCATCTTCTTCAGCCACCTGAGGACTAAGTGTTGACATCTACCACACCAGGTTAAGGCCAAAAGATGTAGGTGGGCATAAAGAAGGAAAAGGAGAAGGGTCAACACCTGTGTAGAAAGAAAGAGGAAACTGCACGGGTTGAGAACTGAATAAGGAAGGTAATCCCATTTCTGGAAGTTATTTTTCAGACAGCGAAACAATGGTTGATGCTGTCATGATTAGGGCTGAGGTGCCGATACCTGCCCAGCAAAAAAACGAAAATGCAAGGGCCAAGAACTAAACAAGGAAGGGTTATTACTTTCTGCAAGTTATCATACATATAACTTTGATTGCTGTTCTCATGCTCAGAACTAAAGTATCTTCTCCAGCCACAGATATTTGAATCTTTATTTAATTTATGTCGGTCATTTTTAAATTATAAAATATCACTTTTAATTTTTTTTCCTGTAGATGTACCCTTTTGGAGATTTCTGCATTTTTTTCTGGGTCGCCGTGCAAAGTATTCCTTCACCTCTTTTGTAATGTTCATTCTTTATTTTTGACAGGACGAGACTGGTAGCTGTAGCAGCACAGAAGTTTATTGCAGAGGTTGCGAGTGATGCTCTTCAGTAGGTCTCCATCCATAATATGATTCTGTTCGCTCTAAAAATCATGCGAAAAAGCCTTCAAGTCTTATGGCCATGTTACATGACCATGCACCCTTTTTCCAATGAAGGAAGAAAAATACAATCAACATAAATGGATTGCAGCTCTAAGATCGATTATTATCTTGAAAATTTTGATGAAAATGTTTCCCACCTCGAATTCTGTCATTTTAGTGTCCAGGTTGGGACATTAGAATCATACACTGCAAGCAGTACTGATCTAAATATCTATCACAAAAAGCTTTCCTGTCATCTAAACCTGTCATTGTTCACCCATGAATGGGGCCATCCTAAATAGTCAATTCGGCATTATAATAATTTTCAGGGAAAGTCCTCCAAGTTGGGTTGTAGAAATAACCCACCTGTTCAAATCTGTCACATTAGCCTTCAAGTTGGGTATCCATCACCTCTAGTTTGCTTCTCTAGTAATCCTATCAATAGTCAACCCATGAAAGGAGCTATTAATTATAATTATTCTTATGGGGAGATCTCTCCTTGTACCAAGATACAGAACGTTCCCATTCATGTCAAACCCCATGAATATAAGGCCCTGTTTTCCTGCTTAAAGCTTTTTTTCTTGATCACTTTTGGATATTGCAGGCATTGTAAGGCAAGGCAGTCGACCATAATCAAAGATAAGCGAGACAAACAACAAAAGGTACAAAAAATTATGAACTCCTTGGCACTTTTCTTTTTTGATTTGCAGATTAATATGATCTCAATTGTGCAGGAAAAGCGATTGGTCTTGACCATGGACGATCTCTCCAAAGCTCTGCGAGAGGTAAGCTGCGCTTCCCACTATTTTCTTTGATAAAGTTGTGGTGTAGGGTTTCATTCTTCAGATGTTTGATGAAATAAAATAAGATAAAAGTTGTGTATGTAATGCAGAGCACAATACTAAAGAGAAATCCTTTACCCTAAATTTATGAAATAAAATAAGATAAAAGATGGTGGATGATCAATGATGGTCTCTGGGTAAATAAAATTGTTCATGACTTCTGGGAACTATTAGATTCTCTCTCTCTCTCTCTCTCTCTCTCTCTCTCTCTCTCTCTCTCTCTCTCTCTCTCTCTCTCTCCAGGTATATAAATAACTGCCCATAAAATTGTCTTCTGGGTTACTTGGCACCTAATATTCTTAATTTTTTTTCATGTTTTCAGCAATATATTTTAACTTGATAATCTCAGTTCATACCCCAAGGCTAATGTCCAGAACCAGCATAGATATAATTCACAGGGACAAGACTAATAGTGGAATCCTTGCCCTTACCGAATCAATTTCTTGCTCTTCTTAGGGGAAGGCATGGCCCCCACTTCGAGGCAAATACCTACCAACGCCATACCTTCTGATAGATAGATAGCGTAGAGAGATAGAGAGAGAGAAAGAGCATTTTATTTAATTCAATGGAAGATGATGTTGTTTAGAAAACTACAAGCCTTAACATCCAAGATGCCATCTTTAGAGTAAGAAACTCTACAGAGGAATGGTTTGTTGCTCCCAACAATGGATATGTTAACCTCCCTTTGGACACTGTGGGCCTATGCCTGGTTATTTTCCTGACTTGGCTTCTCTCCCTTGCCTATTTGGGATCCATACGGGTAGCCATTGGCTTCTCTCCCTTTTAGCCATGTTCTTGAGCTCCATTCTTAGGAATAGAGGCTTGACCAGGCTGGGCCAACTCCAGTCCATTAACATCCCTGATCATAATTTCTGCCATGTTTAGCTGAAGGCTATTATTTATGATAGTTTACATTGATTTCACATAAAATCCAGTCCATGTGCCTAATTTCATACAAGCTTCTGTTGATTATTTTGGTTTGTAATCTACTTTTTCAGCCGATTATTTTTCATCAGGACTTAATACTTGTGATTATGTTGAAATAGTACGGCGTGAACATGAAGCACCAAGAGTATTTCGCCGACAACCCTTCAACTGGGCCGGATGCGGCGTCAAGGGAGGAGTGATTGAGATTCGAGTCGAAGGTGGCCCAACTCTGACTAGGCTTCTCTACTGAGATGGCGGTTGTATGAATTTCATCCTCTCAAGTGTTCATCTCTCTCTCTCTCTCTCTCCCCCTTGTTAGTTTGGTTTTCACAGCCAATGCATCTAGGTGGTTATTTTGTTGTAGATATAGGTGATGAAAGCATGAAATATTAGTATATTAGAAAACCAGATACAACATGAAAAAATCATAATATATTAAAATCAGGAGAAATGGAAGTAGGTACAAGGCTTACTAACAATAGATCTCATTTGGCCATAAGATGAACAATAGATCTCATTCTAGCAGTGGCATTTATGTAAAAGGGAGTTACAATTATTTTTTATTTATGATGACAATGGAGGCTCAAGTGAACCAGAGCAAAAACTGTTGGACAAGGCAACCCAAAGGCAAAGAGAGGACAAGGAATCTATCATTGAAATCTGTTTTAATATTTTCATTGCACGGATTGTGTTATTAGAGATAATGAAAATTAAATAAAAGATTCACAATGAAGAATTAATCATATTAATTGATTATAGAGCAAACAGAATTTTATATAATAGAAATTGGTATAAGAATTTCGCATCAATCACTATCAAGAATATGATGACATCATGGGTTGTGGAATAGTTGTGAGGGAGTGTAATATCTCCCTCTATATATGTATTACGTATATTACATTATATTAATTTATTTTTTTGATGAAAATCATAGAAGCTTGCTTGACCCAAGTAAGAAAATAATTATTAAATTAACACTTGCAGAAAATTTATGTGAAAATCCATGAAAAATGTACTACATAGCTTTCTACCCTTTCTTTTTAGTGAAATTTTATTTGGATACAATGCACTAGACATAAAAAAAATGCAAGGATCAAAAGAATGTACAAAAAAATGGCACTTTACTATTTGCCATTTGTTTTGAAGTTGTCCAAGTGGGAAATCATGTTAATACCCAAACAAAATAAATTATTTTGCCTAATGTATATGAGGCATAACTTATCAATGGTATACCACAAAAATTATGCTAAAATCCATGTAAGATTGTTCTTTTCACATTTGTATCCTTTCTTAATGTTGACTATCTGTTTGGATACAACATAACACATACATAAAATTACAACGACCAAAATGAATTAATATATGCCAATTTAATATCCCACTGCTTTTTATGGAATCGTGTCAAAGTGGGTGGAGGAAATTATGTTAGTACCCAAAAAATATAATATTTCTTTTTTCACCTCATGTATATGATGAATAACACATATACTCCGCCACCAACCTCCCACAAAGCCAACTACCTCCAGAACACCTCCTCCGCTTTCGTCGCCACCCTCGGCGGAGATCCCCACGAGAGCTCTCGCAGCAAAGCTTCCCCCTTGGTCGCCCCTTTCTATTTCCCAGTTCTCCTTCTTCCCCAATGGCGCTCACCCAGTCGGGTCTCCTCAGGAGCTCTTTCCCCCAGCTCTCCTTCTCCCCCTCTTCCTCTTCCGTTGCCTGTCGCCTTCCCCGCCGGGGGACCTGTTGCTCCGTCGCCGCCGTGCCATCGTCGAAGGCAGCGGCGCCGCCGCGCGGGCCCGGCGATGGCTGCGCGTTGAAGTCTTTGAAAGCGCGGCAGATCGTCGATAGCAGGGGGAACCCCACGGTGGAGGTGGACCTGCAGACTGGGGACGGGAATGTGTACCGTTCGGCCGTCCCCAGCGGAGCTTCGACGGGGATATACGAGGCGCTGGAGCTGAGAGACGGCGACAAGACGGTCTACGGCGGGAAAGGGGTGCTCCAGGCCGTGAGGAACGTCAACGAGCTCTTGGCACCGAAGCTCGTCGGGGTCGATGTCAGGTGGGTCAATCTCCATCTCTCGTCCTTCATCACCTCGGAACACTGTTTCAATCCCTCTCTCAAAGCTTCATCGCCATGATCTCTCCTCCCCTGCTTCCTTTGCTCAGACTCCTTACGCTAACAACAATTTTCTTCCAAGTTTGTCTTTTCTTGCACTTTTTGCAGGACCATTCTCGTTTCTTGAAGAAGGTTACTTTCGTTGAATGTAAAGTTCTGAAATTTTTCTTGGATGATTCTGTCTTGCTACCAGGAATCAAGCTGATGTTGACGCCATCATGCTCGAGTTCGATGGGACACCGAACAAATCAAAGCTGGGGGCCAACGCCATCCTCGGGGTGTCCCTCAGTGTATGCAGAGCTGGAGCAGGGGCCAAAGGAACCCCCTTGTATAAGCACATTCAGGAAATATCTGGAACAAAGGAGCTCGTCATGCCGGTCCCAGCCTTCAACGTGATCAACGGCGGAAGCCACGCCGGCAACAACTTGGCCATGCAGGAGTTCATGATCTTGCCAGTTGGCGCATCCTCATTTGCTGAGGCCGTCCGCATGGGAAGCGAAGGTAGTGAGTAAACCCATGTATTCGACTAAATGCAGCGTCTTTTTTCTCTCCTGCTGCTGGATCTACGTGGGTTCTCGGTGGGCCTATGATGGGTTGTTCCTATTTTGTGAGATCCCTCTTATTATTTCCATACTTGGCAGTGTACCATGTTCTGAAGGGAATCATCAAGGCAAAGTATGGACAAGACGCCTGCAATGTTGGTGATGAAGGGGGCTTTGCCCCCAACGTACAAGACAACAGGGAGGGCCTGGTACTGCTCATGGATGCTATTGAGAAGGCGGGGTATTCTGGGAAGGTAGGGTGGAGCCTTCAAATCTCATCCCTTTGTCCCAAAAAGGGGGACAAAGGGTTTCTACTATTGGGCATTCCCCGTTGACCTTTTCTCTGCACAGATCAAAATTGGAATGGACGTGGCCGCGTCAGAGTTCTACACAAAGGATGGAAGATATGATCTGAATTTTAAGAAACAGCCAAACGATGGTTTCCATGTGCTCCCAGCGGATGGCCTGTGTGAGCTGTACAAAGAATTCGTCAGAGACTTCCCCATTGTTTCCATCGAGGATCCCTTTGACCAAGATGACTGGAGCTCATGGTCGTCCCTACGGTCTTCAGTTGATATCCAGCTAGTGGGTGATGACCTGCTGGTCACAAATCCAAAGAGGATAGCTGAAGCCATCCAGAAGGAGGCTTGCAATGCACTGTTATTAAAGGCAAGTATTTAAAACATCAAAAAAAATTTCCTCGTATGTGAATAATTTTTAAAGGTGTTAAACAAGTTGGTGGGTTGAACATTAAATCATTTTTTTTTCTGATCCCTGAAAGTTAAGCAGTGCATGGTCTCTCAGTAGGTCACCATCGAACGAAATATTCACAACATTTATGTGGTTTATCATAACTAAGTTTAAAGCATATGATTTGATTATTATCTTTGAGTTTTAAGATGAAATATAAAAAAATATTTGGTTGAAAGTATTAATGCGTTGAAAGAAAAAAAAAAACTTCCTACTTCCGGTCTTCCTGATTATCAGTGTCCACAAGTACATAATCAGATGATGATTTTCTGGGCACCTGTTTGTCATTTTCTTCATTCAATATCCGGCATGCGTATCCATCCTTTAGAACTTTTTTCCTCAGCTTGTTGGCTGGGAGTGATCTCTCTTCCTTCTCAACAGCCATCATCCTGAAGCAATTCAGTTAATAGTCTCTCAATAGGTTAACTAGCTTATCTTACTGATGTTCTAGACCCTATAGTTTGATGAATTTGAAGATAACTAGTGTTCTGTCTTCCTGCTTGTTAATTTATGTGATTTCAGAAAAAGATGATGAATTTCTCTGTCCCGTAGGTATTACTTTCTTGCTTTAATAACTGAGATGGTGTTCCGTCCTTCTGAGTTCTTCTGTTCTAATTTTGTTGTCTGTCTCACAAGATATTAATAGTTTATCTCAATTTAGTTCTAAACCATTTAATTTGATTATCATCAATGAACTTGAGACAATGACGTGCCAGTGGAAGCTTTGGCGTGTTAATGATTCCTCTTATGCCCTCTTGCAGGTCAACCAGATTGGGACAGTTACCGAGTCCATTCAAGCAGCCCTTGACTCCAAAGCTGCTGGCTGGGGTGTTATGGTTAGCCACCGCAGTGGTGAGACAGAGGATAATTTCATTGCTGATCTGTCTGTTGGGCTGGCTAGTGGACAGGTAGGAAACCTGTATTTACTGTGGATTTCTTACTAATTTGGGAATATTACCGTTGCCAAGTTTTGTTTACATTTTCTGGTTCGCAGATCAAAACAGGAGCTCCATGCCGCAGTGAGAGATTGGCCAAGTATAATCAGGTAATGGGCTTCTAATTCATCAATATTCATACTACTACAAGTAAAAAAAATCACTAAAAAATCAAACTCCCTTCATGCTTACCTGGGCCAACATCAATTTGAATACTTGTTAGATAATATCCGGAAAGAAATTCTGGGTTCATTTTTTCCCACTGATTCGCCGTTTTTCTAGGCTGACATTTCTATTCCTTTTTCATTTCCGTATTTTTTGTTAATTTTCTTGTGGGGTAATATATACCACGTTGGCAAGCCCTATTTAATTCCAGCTGCTGACATCATATATACACACACATAGAGTTTGGAAGAAATACACGTTTTACTACTAGATTCCCATATTTTTCTAGATATGTAGCATTTTCCTCCTCAATTTCTAGAGTACCCAATATCCCTAACCTTTTCCTTTAATGCCCCAAATACTTATCCAGCTTCTGCGCATTGAAGAGGAGCTGGGGGATGTGAGATTTGCTGGCGAGGTTTTCAGATTTCCATGACAGGCCTGTGCTTGCCATGGAATATGATCTGAGGATCTGTGCCTCCAACTCAGCAAGCTCTGTTGATGCGCTCTCTAGAAGGCCCTGAGGATTTTGTATTACAATAATTAATATTTTTTAATTTTTATCTGACGGATCAATTATTGATGAATAATTCTGCTCACTGCAGCAGAGCTGCTATCAGCCAAGGATCCCCTGCTGTGGCCGGTTAAGAAAAAAGAGACATTCGACTCTGGCTTTCATCTAACCCAGTCTTTGGGTGGATCTTTTCATTATTCTGCTTCTTCTTCATCTTTTGTTATCATTTGTTTATATTAGTATGCTCATTATAGTGAGGATCATAGTTGCCATTTCTGGATCTAATTTGCCTGAGCCGGTTTATGTTGGACAGCCATTTCCATGAATAATGGGTCTACTCACTGATATCAGAGGATTGGTTGATTATGTAGATCATCCCCTTCGTTGACCTTACCCTTGCTCTTGAGCAAGCAATGGGGGGCTTTTATTAGTAAATTCATTGAGGCTAAATGCCCCAAATTATCCATCCATGTGATTTTGATAACTTTTATTAGTAAATTTTTTTTGGTGTTATTGGCAATGCCAAACCATGAGAGGAACATGTTAGGAGAATGTCCCAGATGCTAAAGACCAATAAAGTCTCCTCAATCTCTCTTCATAGAAAAAAACACCATTGAATTTGTCACAGGTTGTTAGATAAACCACATCTGATATACATTGAATTTGATTTAGACTTGATGCATCATATTGGCCCAAATCTCTCACATTTTTTTAATTTTCAATGATATTATAATGTTATAATGATATTTTGTGGTTAATGCAACCCATGATCTGTAGGAGAATTTGAATGTATTTTCTCGTAGGCACCCAAGATATTCTTGAAAATTAGAATATCTTATTCTGACCCATTAATTTTATTTAAGCATATTCTATGAACTTGGGATAGATTTTGAATTTTTGTGGAAAAAATCATTTGTAAAAAGTCAATGTTGTCATCATCATCAAATATGCTCAACAAGAACATCCAAAAGAAGGGCTAATGGATTCAGGAGACAATTTATTCTAAATGGGCCATGAGTAGTATTATTCTAATCCTTAAAAAGGGTTCTCAATGTGCCAAGCAATACTAGACTCAAAGTCAACTACTTTGCTAGGAATAGCTTCATAAACCTACATTAAGAGATTCTAGATAGGCCATAAGTAGTATCTACTTCGCCATATGGTAGGTATGCCCTTTACTCTTATTAATGGGCCTCAACCAAGCTCCACATCATCTCTCTCCACACCCAAGTTACCTATTTCTCTCTCTCTCTCTCTCTCTCTCTCTCTCTCTCTCATCATTGGTGATTATGACTTCCTTTTGCATCATGTGGGCTCAATCATGAGGCCTGATCATCTGCCATGTAATAACTCGGCATTTCTCTTGTTAGAGAAAGAGTCAAAGTTCCAAATGTAAATTCTAAAGCATAATTTGCTGATTTTTCTCTAGATGTAAGTTTGATTAGATTACGAATGTTGGGAAAAAAAAAAGACAATAAAATGACGATTAGAATTTTAAATTTTCTATAAAATACTTATAATTAGAAAACAACTAATTTTTGTTGTGTAGGAATTGTATTATTATAAATACACCCATATATTGCAACTCTATTACAGACATATCCTTCCAATATGCTCTTAACATCTAATAGTTTTCTACACTATCATTTCTCACGTACCAAAATGCCCCTAAAATGATGAAAAATCACTCTTCTCACCTTTCAATTCGTGACCCACTTTAGCCTAGATTTGACTACTTGTGACTAGAAAGATACTTCGAGTGTTAGCTGACTAGTATTATGATTTTTGCTCTATTGTTGAGGGGCAGGATTGTCAATCATCAAATGGTGGAACCTCTACTATGCACCTTACCCTTGAGGTTGGCCCATGTTTTGTCAAGGCTTGTGATTATAAGAGCTTACTCAATAATGTGGGATTCCATACAACATCTCTAAATTGAGTAATATATATATATTTTGTAACTAAAGGAAATTTGAAACCTAAAAAAAATTCAAATAATCAAGCCATTTACTAGAAGTAATGTTGAATTTGGTAAACCTTGTTTCTAAATCCCATATTGATGGAAGATTTATTTTCTAATTTAAGACAACTTGAGGGGTTTTGAATGGTATGAACAGAAATACATGAACCAGATTTTAGTAAGATTTATTCCAAAATTTGGTTATATGGAAGGCTTTTTACTAATTTGACAAAATTGGATGGTCTGAAAATTCTCTAAAAATGCAAAATTACTAAATTATTTGCTACCAATTATGTAGAACATGGCAGAGCTCATTTCTAAATCCAATAAGGTGGAAGCTTTTTTCTAATTTTAGAAAATTTTAGGGTAGGTTTAAGTGCTATACAAAATACGTAAAATAGTCTTTAAATAGAAGTGTGTATGACTTATCATGTAGAACTTGAGAAGGCTTGTTTCTAAATCCAATATAGATGTAAGCTTCTTTTTTTCTAACTCAACACGATTTTGTATATTTTAAGTAAATAAAATAGCTAAAGTGATTACTACCGACAATAATGTAGAACTATGTGCTGCTTCTTTTATAAAACCAGTATGGATTGAATTTTTTCCAAAATTTAGACAACTTGAGAGGTTTTCAGTTATAGAAAAAAACATAAAAATCATTAAAATAATTGTATTTATGACTAATAATGTAGAACTTGTGATGGCTTGTTTCTAAATCTAGTTAGAGAAGTAGGGTTTTTTCTCTAGAACAAAAAAACATAAAAAAATCATCAAGAGAAGTATTTATAGCTAAAAATTTAGACTTTATGATGGCTTGGTTTTTAACTTAGTTATAGACGTAGCTTTTTTACCCTAGAAAAAAAATAAAAAAATCATCAAATAGACGTATTTATGACTAATAATGTAGAATCTGTGATGGCTTGGTTCTAGATCTAGTTATTAATATACATCTTTTTCTCTATAAAAAATAAAAAAATCATTAAATAGACGTATTTATGACTAATAATATAAAATTTGTGATGGCTTGTTCTAGTTCGAGTTATTAATATAGATTTTTTTCTCTATAAGAATATAAAAAACTCATTAAATAGACATATTTGTGACTAATAATGTAGAATTTGTGATGCCTTTTTTCTGAATCTAGTTATGGATGTAAAAAAAAATCCCTAGAAGAAAAAAACATCAAAAATCATGAAATAGAAGTATTTATTACTTATAATGTAGAATTTGTGATGGCCTGGTTCTAAATCTACTTATAAATCTATTTATTATAGATTTAGGTTTTATTACTAAATTTATGACTAATAAATAGTAGTATTTATGACTAATAATGTGGAATTTGTGATGGCTTGGTTCTCTATCTAGTTATAGATTTAGTTCTTCTTTCTAATTCAACACAAATTTTTCGTGTTTGAAGTGAAATAAATTGCGTAATATGGTAGTGAAAGTCAAAACCTTCTTGTCTGAGCGGTTGATCTCATCCAGGGCGTTCTTTTCTCATCTCCCTGGTATGGAATGCTTGTTGGGCCGCCGGTATTGTCGGGTCCCTTTTAACCTCAGCGGCTAGTTTGTTGAGGAGGGGGACGAGCCCGCCGGCCCGCCTTCAGCCCTAAAATTCGTAATCAGTCCGCCAAGGTTTTGCCGGAGAAAGAAGCGGGTGGGTGTTCAATCTCCCCAGTATCCCTCCACTTCCCGGGAGGAGTACGGCGACGGATGCTCTGGTTCCCCCTAGTGATTCTACTTTGCAGGAGTGCTGGGCCCCTGAGGCCTCCGATCTTCTCTGTCCGTTTATCGTTTATCTATCTGCTGGTTTGCTGATCCCGTTGGTGCCCATTTTCTTCTGTCCATCTCTTCCTCGAAGTTCGTTTGCTGGATTTCAATATGAGCGACTCTGTTACGGCAAGGGATCTGGGTTCGCGCAAGGTGATGATTTCTACGCGGGTTGTTATCACCTTCTTTTTATTTTTTGCCGAGATGCTGTGGTGCGTCGTGGTTGGCATTCCCTCAGTCTACACGGGGAGATATTTTTTTGTTATTTATGTGGATTCATTCGTCGTCCTCTAGGCTTCGTTTCTATAATTGTTCTATGTTTCAGTCGTTAAGGTCAATACAACCTGCTTACACTGAAAACGCTTTTCAGTTGTTTCCTCTACCCCCATTACTCTCAGAGTGTTGCGTCTTCTTTCATCCCTCTTATTTGCTTTTTGGATCTTGCCTCTAAGTTGATGATATTTTGTTTGATACAGTTCTTTCATAACAGCGTAGTGACCATAAAACTTTGCTGGTTTATCAACCAGTCATTTAGTTCATGGGGATGTTTTATACGGCTACTAATTGAGCATAATCCATGTGACACTGGGAAGATATCGAAAGCTTACTTGGTAGTGAGAGGGAGCCCAATATTAGGAACGCGTTCCTCCAACCCATGGGAGATGATGAAGAATAGAGAAAATTAAAGAAGAAGAGAGAAAAGTAACAAACGCAAACGATTATGGCTGTCTCACACGGTTCAAATGTCCCTGAATTCATGGCTGCACTGCGTTCAGTGTGTTGAAGGTCTTATCAATGCAAGGGGCGAGGTTCTCTTAAAATCTGGGGAGGCTAGGGGAACACGCCATGGGTGAGTAGGTTACTATTTTTCCAAAAGACCTGGAAAACAAGGGTCTAATTTACCATGGGGTAAGTCTGTCTCTAGACTCCAAAAAGAAAGATGAAATCAGCTGGGTACAAACCGGGTGGTGATTTCTTTGGCTTGCTAAGTATTAGTGCCTGCTAGCCAAACACTCATGCTAGGTTGCAGGTCGGTTAACAGCAGGTGGAATTATCCATGTTTCAAAAAAGCACAAATGCTTTTCCATTGTTGGAATCCAATTTAGTCTCACAGTGTAGGCTGCTTGGCCTCATTTTTTGATGCTGTCGTTGAATTTTTTCACTGTTAGTTCAGAGAGGTCATAGAATATTTGCCTTGGTAGTTTGGGATTTTATGAGCGGGAGATATATTGAGTCAACATGGGTGTCATTAGCAAGCATTTTTATGCATTGTTGTTGAATACGTTCATCTTTCAGTAGTTGAAAGATGCCTTAGACAGTAGTTTAGTTTTGTAGTCGGTGCTCTGGATTTATATCAGGTAAAATGGAATTTGTTAATCCTCAATCCGGTATAGTCTTATCCTTAACTAAGTTACAAATTGGCGGCATAAATTATTCTATGGACATTTGAAAGAATGATTCTATGGTTCTTTGCCATATCAAATCCACTGACTATGCTCACGGTTGCTCTGTAGGTTATTTTTTAGGTATTGCAGGGGACTTTGTGTCTCAAGGGCTTTTTGTCAGAGGTCACAGTTGCTTTTTGTCTTCTTGTCTATATGGTTATGTTTACCCTTCACAGTTTATGTTTTTAGTCCACGCTTATCAAGTTTGGCATCTTGCATGGTTCATATGGTTGAAATATACAGCGGGATAAATCCTTGGAATTGGTTGAGTTTTATCTCAACCTGCTGACATCTATTTGAATCAGCTATGTTCCAATTTTGGGGCTAGCTGGGTGATGGTCAAGGTCCAACGGGAGGTTCTTCATGTAAAAATTCTCAGTCCCTTCCTATACCACCACTCTTTCGAAGCAGAGGAGAGTAGATAGTGATTCCATCCTTGTGCTCACATCTATTGCTTGGTAAGGTGTGGGTAGGTAAATCTGTCTGAGGAAGTTGATCAAACAAGAAGGGTGGTGCGGGAAAAAGTGAAGAGCTTCTGATGTTAGAACGTTTTATGAGAGCTGGAAGGGGCTTGGGGTAGAGAAAATGCGCCATGGACAGATTGATGGATAATGGGTATGGTGACTTGGAATGTGAGACGAATGTAGAGCCTGGGAAAGAAGATAAATAGCAGTGACTTGGTAAAGATGTGTGCAATAGATTGTGTTGAAATATCGAGAGTCAGGAAATCTCGTCACTTATGTCCATGAATACTGGCTGACATAAAACGTTACGCAGTTTCAATGTTTTGTGTGATGTCACAGAGGGGCATGGAATCTGAACGGAATGTGCTTCACAGAAAAGTTGGAAGTAGTGAATTTTATGTCTTGGAATGTGAATGGAATCTAGAGGATGGTAAAGAAGAGGCCTGTTGGTGAAAAGGTGTAAGGTGAATTGCTTAAATGAAGGCCAGGGTTCTCATAATTTTATGTCCTTAAAAAATTGGTTGCTTTTGATGTCTCTCAACTTTAGGTTTCCAGAAGTTGAAGTCATCTTGGATTTTTCTAGAGTATCATCGTACTTGGATGAAGAGATGCAGATGATATTGAAGATCCATACTGTTATAGTAACAGATTCGGTGAATGAGGAGTAATGGGTTTAGATTTAAATATGCTGCTTGTTACTTCACAAAACTCTCATGTGATTTATGCCAGAATTCTTTCCTTAAATCCAATATTTTTCATGGCTGTGAATGGCCTTCAATTGACTGAATTAGGTCCTCAATAACCGAGATGTGCTATTTTTCTCCCATAGATATGTTCACAAGGTATCAAAAGGTTATCCTATATAATAATTCCCTGGACAAAGTCATTTATATAGCCAGATTCCATGTTACACAGTTCTTTGCCATCCCCATCATTATTGATGAAATAATCTGTCACGCCACTTTGCCTACTCCTCAGGGTTTCATCTTTACTATACTAAGCCATATATTCTTATAAATCAATACCGAATGAATAATAGTGATCCCCCCTTCCAAATGTGACTCACTGTTTTGAAATTGCACAATGATTGGCATCGCCCATGATCAGTTCCAAAACCGTTGATAAAAAGCACAAAGAAATCCCGTATGGCCCTTATTCCTGTCACATGGCATGGCCCACCTTGAAAAGAAAGAATCCTTCTCAAGGAAAGTAGAGTGAGAGATGATGGCTTCCCCTCACATACTTTGAGAACTCTTGATAGTAGATGCCATCTAATTGTCCTATTAAGGTAATAAGTTTGCACCTTTAACACCATCAAGCAGTCACTTTCACGGTAATAAGTTACAGCATTTTGTTTGTTAGAGATTTGGCTGCTCTTGCATGCTCCATAATCCATGGACTCCTCTTTCATTCAGGTTAGATTGACCTCATCGATTCCATAAACTGCCCTCAAATGCTATCCAACTTATTTATACGATGGAAAACGAACTAATAACCTGCCGCACCTCTCCCTATCATCTCCAGAAAAGGTCAATGAACCCCTGTGGTTCCTTCCTCAGACGTAACCTCTCAAATGACGGTTCCCTCCGTTAGTACCCGAACGAATTTTAACTCTCGGTTTGACCAAATGTCAAGCAGTTAGATCAACTTGTTGTCAAACGTTGAGAAGTATTCCTACCCTCCCACACAGGGATGCGAAAAGTAAGGATGGAAAGGTAGAATTTTGTTTCTAGCTAGAAGAGAGAAAGCCAAAATCTCAGACACTGATCTCTGTGGGATCATCCTTGTCTAAAAAGATAAGTTAGTCACTTGTGCCTTTCTGTTAAATACGTCACTAGGTCGAGGTTAGGTTTAAGCACATGGATTTTCGCAAGATACCCACTGTTCCATGAAAAGGGCTAAACTCTTACACCCTATATGAGTAGCTATCCCACGTGGATTTGTCAGAAGGTACGTCAGGAATTGAGGCTCACTAGGGATTAGAGCTCTCTATCATGGACATCTCACCCCATCTATATGTTGATGACGTTTCTTTGTCCACAATGCCAACTGGTATATCTGCTCATTATTATGCTTCTGACACTACATGGAAAGTTAATAGAAGTGAAGGCAGACCTTGCAAATAAATGGTGGTGGGGGCTGAATCTGTGTGCCATGTCTCTTCTTGTCAATAGCCACTCTAAGATAAGGTTGGAAGGTTGGGTGCTATCCCGTGTCGGAGCTATGATCCTTTCTTAGGTCATTCTCAGTGGTCTTCGTATTTATTCTAAATTGATGCAAATTCCTAGGGCACTTATCAATGGATTAACATAATACAAGTAGATTTCTCATGATTGTCTTTTTTGGTTGTCATTTTTACTTCATGAGGGCGCAGATGAATGATTTCTATCCCTTGTGTGAGTTTTGTAATGATTTGTATAGCATATTATTGTGGATGCTTTTGGCTGACTTGGTATTTATATTCATTTCAGGAGGCGTTATTACAATTTGCATCCATAGATCTGATAGAATTGTGCAAAGAAGCAAAAGTGGAACACTGCCGGGCATCTAGAGACTTGAGTACCTGTGGACGCTATGTACAACATGCATTAAGTTCTTGTGGACATGCTGCGCTATGTGAAGAGTGTAGTCAGAGATGTGATGTTTGTCCAATTTGTAGGACTCCTCTGCCAAAGGGTGGAAAACTCCGTCTTCGTCTTTATGATAAATGCATTGAGGCTGGCATTATCGCTAGAAAAGATGATGCGAGATCTGAACAGAATTACAACGGGGAACATTTAGATGTCCAGCGCCTCTATTCTCTCTTTGATGTTGCCCTAGAAAACAACCTTGTTTCTTCAATCTGCCATTGTATCCTTTTGTTTTTTATATTTGTTGATGGATGAAACGACTGATGCGGGGATGCATTCAAAGTATAGACCATGTTATCATCACCTTAACAAATACCACAGATGTTACAGATGTTTGTCTGGACGAAAATGCTGTATCAAGCGACCCTGTACTTGCATTTCTTTTGGATGAAGTTGTTGTGAAAAACTGGTGCAGATGGAAGTACAAGAGTGTTGTTCAAGATCTTCATGACATATGTATCCTTGAAACCTTGACATCTAGATTTGGGGAGACAGTCCTGTTTCAAATATACAATTTTTGATCTGGATGATAGCATATAGTAAAAGAGAGATCAAAGTCTTGAACAGGAAGGTAAAAAGCATGAGACAAGTCTTACATGTTATGCATGTCTTTTTTTATGCTTTTTCTTGTGTTAGACTGCTTATACCACTGGAAGCATCATGATTGGTATTATGATGGGCTTAAATATTGTCCTTTTAACAAGATTTTATATATATTGTATTTTATCATCTGGCATCTACAATCATTCATGGTCACTTTGATTGCATCAAAGAAGTTAATACGGTCTAGTTTTCTTGGTTTTCAATCTTGTGTTGAGATGCTTTGAGAACAAAGTGAATGATTTGAAGCATACTCTTTTTTTATCTTTTGCATAATCTTTCACCATTGCTGCAAATTTGGTCTTGTACTTTTTGGGTTCATTTTCCCATGAAATTTTCTGTTTAAGAGATGGATCGTTTTCCCTGGTTATCGTAGGCACATGCATGTGCATGGGCGTATCTGTTGACATCTCTATCTATGATTGCTTGGGTTTATGTTACCTATGCCTGCTCATGGGATAATTATCTTTCACTTTTAGTGCATATACTAGGATCTCACTTTTTTTTTTTAAGTGGATAATTCCAGATATATAAACCACGTTCTTACAGGTACATCAATTACATGACATGCTTATACTTTTGACCAATAATATCATGATTGCCTATTGTGGCACACCGACTGTTGACCACCTTTATGTCACCCATGTTTAAGTGCGTCACTGATTTCCTCTCTTCCAGCACTACATTTACCATCCGATCACTTTCCTGCCTGTGACACTGGATGGCTACTTGCGATTGAGCTAGCCAATCACGTGATCCTCACATTATCCTCACTATGGTGAGATTCCTTTGTGCCTCTGGCACCTTCATCTTGGTGTACCTATCCCTGCAGTGCTTTTGAGTATGCCATATTTATCAGGACATTTTGTTCTTAATTAGTTTTTATAAACATTTTACATTGCTTTCGTATGATGGTTCATTAATCATACGGATGAAATGTTATTGCCTTAAATGTTGAGAAATTAGATTAAGGATACTGTTGGATGTTTAATATGATATTTTATACATTAATAAAATTTTAAGACCCGTGGGATTAAATATGCACAAACTGATTAGTATTACTATAAAGTTTGATATTAAATACCTTAACTAATTTGAGGATATTGATTTTTTTTTTTTGTTTTAATATGAACTTTGTTATCTCTGTTTTAGTTTAGCTACACTGTTGCATGAAATGTATCGTTGGAATGGGATGCTATTCGTTTCATACTTTTAACTAGCTGTGCTTTCTCTTTGGAGTTTACGGAGTTGGGAATTCCTTAACTAGTCCTACTTGTAACAAACATCAAATAAAATCATCAAAAGCCATCAACTCGTAGTGGAATCTTATTTTGGCTGCTTATTTTGGTCTTTTAAAATTCTATAAGCTATCGTGTAATACTCTGTGCCCATTCCAACGTACATTAAATTTCTCATGATGGAATTTTCTTTTGGCTACTTATTTTGATTTTATAAAATTCAATAAGCTATTGTGTCTAATACACTGTACCCACCCCAGCGTACATCAATTTTCTTGGTTGCTTTCTGTTTGATGGTTGCTTGATTTTTGTTTCTACCGAGTGTTGAGATAAGTAGTTAGAGTTTCAAGCACTTACCTAAATGTATCTGCTTATCCTCTCGATGTTTGATGATGTAACACACCCTTTTCTATGTTTTTTCCAAGTATCCTCTGTGGTAGTGGGATAGACGATTTTTTAAGATCTTCAATTGGATGTGCTGGTAAAATATTTTCTTGTTGGAAGTGGGTTCCATAATAGTTTCAAAGGATAAATTTGATGCATGGATGTGATAACTCCGGGATTCCGGATAATTTGACAAGGAATGCCTTAACAAGGATTCAGATGTTCGTGAAGAGGGAATGCAAACAAACTTGAACTTGCTCCTGAAGTTTTCTTCACGGTTAAATGGCATCTCTAATGTTCTTGCGGTTTTGGAATCGTCATTTGCGGGATCTCTATCTGCAGAGCTTCAAGATTTACATTGGCTCTCAGAGAATACATTGAAGACCAAACAGGTTAAGTTTTTATGACAAATAAGCGTGGTTTACTGGAGGAATCTGTGCTTGATTTGTTCTTGTGCGAATTATGAAGATCTTATTTTGCTGACCTTTGTTTTGAGCTGATTGTGTATAAAATCAGATTTGTATATTGATGGTCTTGACTAGGATCTAATGGGCTACTTTTGATGTCTCCAGACGTTGTATATAATTTGATTTATCACTTCGTTAGTGCCATCAGGACAAGATTTTCTTGAATTTCGAAGGTTGTTAGTAATTTTTTCCTGGCATAAAACACAGAGAATATGATACTTTCCCTTTTGAAGAGATTGTACTTTTCTCTTTCTACAAAATTCTTCCCCAAAAATTGTACATCAGTTGTTGTGGTTTTCAGCTCTCCTGGAGAAGGGCTTGCAGGAAGAGACAGAAGAGCTAAGCTCTGCTTTGAAGAAAGAAGTGGATATCAGACTTTTGTGGATTTCTGCATCTGCTGCTTTGATAATCATTACAAGGGGCAAAGGGACAAAAGATATTTTTTGGTTGGTTTCTTTGTTAATTCGTCTTAGTTAAAGGTTTTTCCCCAGTCTTGGTTACCAGTGATGATTATGTGTGCGGACATTTTATTCTGGAGGAAAATGTGGAAGATCTTGAATCACAAATGAAATGGAAACAAGAAGCCACAGAGACTTGTGTTATGCTCAGTTTGAGGATGTCTTGTAGCGCATATGGGGGGTGAAGGAGATTGTTCCTCGTTTTTGAGGTTCTTAGGGTCTCCACCATTTTAGTGCAGATTTTACAGATGTTGTATGGAGGCTTTTTGGAGAGATTATTGGGCATATGTTTGTAAATTCCCTTTCTTTTGAACATTTAATCAGTGTATGGTGCTATCCAATTGAAAAAAGGGTGGGGTGCCAGATGAAAATTTCATGGCCTCTTGATTAAAAGTTTGAAAGAATTCAAACAAGATGTAATATCCCCTAGTTTATGCAAACCAAAAGAACAAGCTGCAATGTCCAAGAGAGGCTGCTTTCAATGATGAAGCCAGTATACTTTCTAGTTCATATTAATTAATCCAGGGAAGTTAGCAGATTTAATTAAACATTGTAATACAAGATGTTTTGAAAATTATAGAGGTTTGTATGCCCTTATCAAAAGTTATTTAAAGACATAATTGTGGCCATTAAATACGCTGTCTTTGTGAAATCTTCTCAGAATTCAGGACGTTACAAAGTTGCCAGAACTGTTGTCTGTTTAGAAAGTGCTCTTATGTGTATATGTACGGAAAAACAGCAAGTCCCCAGTTTCTGCGAAAATGGTTCCAAACTTCTCTAGTTTCTAGTTTCTCTATGATCATTCTTATCTATTCATGCGTACCATCTATTTCCATCCACCACCATTATTTGCTCTGACTACACCTAAAATATAAATAACTTTAGCATACACTTGCTTTTCCCTTATCAATAATCTCTACTGCCACAGACTATTTGGGTGTTCATCATTCTATATCCCCCCTCAATTCAGGATGTTCATGAAACTGCTCAAGGAGAACAAACTCTAGTCACGTTTGTGTAAAACTTTTGCATTAAAAAGTATGGTGCCTGAGTGAATTATGTTTGTTTGTTATTTTCATGCAATACATCATGGCCTGTTTGGTACCTTGACTATTGATGTTCTTAGGGTTACTCCTGGAACTTTAAACTGTTGAAAGGAAATTTGTCCATATTCATGAAGCACCACTATTTTCTTTTCGTTGCAATTTCGTCTAATGTTTGCATACAGAAACGGAATTTGTTTACTTGGTGTTTATTTTTTCCACAGCACTTGGACGTCATGATTTGGTGCATTAGGCATAAGTTTTTGGAAAATGTTGAGTCACGGTATCCGAATTCAGTCTCATGGAACTTGCACGTCAGTGAAAGAAAATTGGCTGCAATTGAGCGAACATGGCCCAATTTAACTGGTTACACAGCAGAAACAGCTATGCAGAATGAGTCAACACTTTTCATAGAGGATGCACTTTCTAATTTGCAGATAGAGCAAGACATTGGACGGACAGTGTCTGGTGAATTAGATGTCAGAAGTCTTCTAGGGGATGCATATCAACTATCAGATTTATCTGAAATGGTTGGAGTATCAGGACTCTATCCCTTTAAGGATTTGCGTTCAGCTGCTGATATTTTATTTCTTCATGGAACATCAGATGTGGCTGTTGCCAAGCAAGCAATAGTATCCTTGAGACTTTTTGTATTTTCACCTGGTTTTGGATAATTAATTTACATCTCCATATGTTTGCCTTAATCCCCTGCAGTTTTTGTACTATTTGTTTGACAGACATTGGTCTACACCTGATGTTAACTGGAGGCATATTGTTGATGATTTTGCTACTTCCTTCAACATACATAGACGATCAGTGCTGGAATCATTAGTTTTCTACCTTCTAGATGATCATTCAGATGAGGCTCTTCATGTAACCTCTTCACCTCCCTTTATGTAAATTTCTTTCTATCAAGAATCATTAGTTGTCATACAGTACGATATCATTATTTTTATTTAGTAAATCTCTTAATGAACCTTTCGTGTTTATAGAATAGTCATTTTGATGTAGCATAATGTGCGTGATATATGAAAGTTTTAAGTTCTTTTGGTTTCGTCTGAAGGATTTTTCTATATTTTTTTATTGTTGAGAATATATTTTATCATATCAAACGTGAGTAGGAGAAAATCATCGGTTTGAAGGAAAGGTCAGTAGACTGAATAGAATTGCTTGTGATGCTGGAGGATTAGGATGCTTGTGATGATAATGAATTTGGAAAGATTTCTGTCTACCTTTGTTTCTTGGTGCACATAATTTATGCATATGTGAACGGTCCTATGATATATCCATGCACGTATATTATTTTCCAGGATTATGCCTCAGACAACAAGCTCATATTCTGTCTGATTTGACTGCAGTCAACTGATAAGAGGTTGACAGAGCATGAGAGAATCATTCTTTGTCTTTCAAATGTACAAAATCTATGCTAGTGTTTCAACAATCATGTGCTTTCATTTACAATGCCCAGCTGGAAACCTCTATTGCCAGTAATTCATATTTTTGGATTTTTATAATCGACAGTGTTCTGGGTATGTTTATTTTTTGATCTGTTCGTTTTTCCTCCTACAATTAATAAATCATTTATACCGTGATTTCTTTTTCTTCTCTGACTGTAGCAAGCTAGCCAACTCCTCCCAGTAATAGCAGGCCGAGATACACATCCAAAAGTAGCAGAAGTTCTATTAGAACGACAAAGGCCTGACCTTGCACTTATGGTCTTACGGTGCTGTGGTCGTGATGGATTTTCTGCACATAGTATCAACCATGACGGTTCACTTATAGTGTCCCTTAATGTTGCTGTAACAGCTGTTCGGGTGAGAATTGAATGTGGACTATTGACAGAAGCATTTATTTACCAGAGAATGCACTGTTCTCAAGTGAAGGAAAATAAGCTGAGGTGTGGATCTTCTGAAGTATTTTCAGATGGTGTAGAAGATGGACTAGGCTCTTGGGTGCGGCACCTTGAAGTGTTAGTGACTGAAATCTGTTCGCTTTGTGTGCGAAGAAATTTAGTGGATAGAATGATTGAGTTACCTTGGAATTCTGATGAAGAATTAGTTCTCCACAAGTGTCTATTTGATAAGGCTTGTCAACAGCCTTCATCAATCAATGGTAGCCTTCTTGTTGTGTTCTATCTTCAGGTAGCTTCCTATTATTTTTATTTCTTATTTGTGCTACTAGCCTTGAATTCTTTTTAGAAGAACTTAAATAAATACAGAAAAAGGAAACGACGTGTTTGCATCTACTAAAAGTAACATCATTTTTTTTTCATCTTTCAAGTTCATTTTCCTGCGAGGGAGGATCCCTCTCTCCCTTTTCATGAGCTCTACTTTCTTCAAATGTTTATGTTTGATGCCTTGCCAATTTCTTTGTTTTATCTTCAAAATCCAATGAGACCAAAGCCATTCTGGTTACTTCGACTTTCATGTAGGTCCTCATTTTTTAGCGGTGTGATTTAATGCCATCGAAATCTACTTATACTATTCGGGTTTAACCATATGAGGTAATTTATTATTGCCTTGGTTTTTGAATATTATTATCTATACGGCGACCCAAATTTTACTTGACAGTTGTCCATTGTATTTCCAGCAACGCAGTCAGTTTTGGAGAGTTTTAGCTTATTTAAAATTTACAGCTATGTTTTTTTAAACTTATACTTTACCCCGAAGAATGGGTTTTCGTAGCTGCCTCATGTGAGAATTGGAGTATAAATTCCCAGGGGCAGATGAAGCTGGGCAATTCTGTACTGTGGAATTTGGCAACGTCAGATGTAATTCGAATTAGGGTTATGATGAAAAAAATTCAGTTAATGTAATATTCTAATCATAGTTGATTTTTAATTTTGAACTGGTTGGATTAGGCTGATTTCCTTTGGGAGTCACATCATCATTAAATTTTATGTTTTTTCGTTTTGCCGAGGTGGACACACTTTCTTCTTTTTGAAATTTATTACTTCTATACTTTATTTTTCTTGTACCATATTCTGTTCGGGTTTGCTGACAAACTTTAGGAGGTTATAGCGACTCTGACTTTTTGCTGCTTATAGTTGCACTATGACACTTAATAGCATCATGTTACTGGGTAGAGCCTTCCACCCCCCTCCTTTGGCGAAAGATAATCTCGGGATACAGCTCTAAAAACGAGGGTTATGTATAAAATAAAATGAATATCACTTATGCTTGGTAAAGTGAGTTTGGGGGCCAACCTTTGAATGAAATCATTCATACTCCTAGAGATTTGCTACATCAATGCCATTCTTAAATTCGCTATTTTTGGAAGTTATCCTCACGAATGGGTTGAAATGTGTGATGGAATCAAGGCTGATGGTTAGATGTGAACCTCTATTGTGGAAGAATCGAATGGACAGTGTCCAGACTCCGGGGAGTCAAGTACGGTTCTGGGGTTTATTGTTCGAATAAACTGGGCTTGGCTGGGCTTGGCTGGTGAAACAAATGGTCGCGGGAAGAATGGATGAGTAGTCCTAAAAGCGTCAGAGTTCAAAAACCTGATGAAGCAGCTACGGATGCTTTGTTAGGAGACAAACGAGGATCCTAAGATAAAAAGATCTATATCACGAATGGCATGAATCTCACATCTATGGATTCGTACAATGTTAGTATTGTTGAAAGACCAAGCTACTAAAGTTTGTGGAAAGTCATATCATGTTTAAAAGTCAGGCGTTTGTGTCGCAGCATCATAGAAGAATTGTGGGAAAAGCGTTCAGAAATGGATCACTGACTGGCATAATTTTTAGACTACCGAATTAATAGTGAAGAACGGAGTAACTTTATATGAGTTGTCATACATTGTTTTCTATTTGCTAGTACAAAAGTTATGCACAATCGACAACTTCTCAAGGAGATGAGTCTGTCTTATAAGCCATTTTAGTCTTTCATCAATAGCTGGGGGACTTCTTAGTGAATTTTTCATAAACAAGCCAGGGAACTTTCTGAGATAACTTTCACTGTAGTTTGTTGATGTGCTTCTCATTTCTGTATTCCCAAAAACAAGCGAAATAAGAGTGCATGCTACTACCTCCGTGTTATACATTGGGAGATGGCATTGTGGGTTTGAGTAGTGACGGCTGTGGATCTATGCCCTTTGTGGAAAACTGTTCAAATGAGCATTGTTCTGTGCGGTTTTCCTTTCTTACAATTATAGTATTGACGCCTTTTTCTTTGGAGATTTAAATCTTACAGCTCTTGCCTGACCATAAATTCTTAAAATCCATTGGGCTTTACAATTGGTATTCTATTCGCGTAGATGATCATATCTGTATGGAGAGAATAACCGTCTTTTGGGTACACAGTGAATAGGTTATGAGTCGTTTTCTCCAGTTTCCTTTCCAAAACTACTCTCTGCATAAGCTTTTGTGAAAATTTTGGATCGGAAAGCGGACATTCGGTTTTCTCCTTCACAGTAAGCAATGTGTATACTTTATTCAGTAGATGAAGTAAGAAAACGGTATATATACTTCTTGTGGAATCTTCTCTCAATCACATTTGATGATCAAATACCATTTTTTTTATATTACTTTCACGCTTGTTGACCATGCACATTTGATTAGCCATAACAATCAAACCCACCTATGGATCATGTAGTATATATTCTTTTTTCAAAGTGTTAACCATTATTTGCTGACACGAGTTTTGATTTACTCAGTTCTATCAGATTCAATTCTGGATTATTGTCACTACTTACTGCATCAATAATTCTATTTCCATCTTGCTTCCAGCGATGTCGGTATGTTGAAGCCTATCAAATTGACGACAAACTTAGGAGCTTGGAGCAAAATTTCTTTCAGACTGCTTCTGAAGAAGAAGTTTCCAAGATAAGGTCAATAAGTCAGTGGAGAGAAGGACTGATAGTAAGTATCTCTTGGTTTCAGTGTTCTACATACAATTTCATCACCTATACTGAGAAGTCCAAGCACCAAACATGAGTTGACTATGTGAATGAGTACAATCTGTACTATGACGAAAACTAGGATACCGAAACATACATTTCCTTTTTTGGTTGGGAATGTGATAGTGTGATGATTATTGACTAAATTTAGTCCTATAAGCTGAAGATTGAGGTTCTGGCGAGTCCTTGAATGACCAATGTGGCCGTTTTTTTATTTCGAGCCTGCTTTGCCAATACTGGTCTGAACAGCTTAATCTTGTATGGGATGCAACCACATTGTCTTATATCCCTGTTAACTAGGGCATTAAAAATCATACGTGATCAAGCTACTATTTCTTTGTTATTCTTCAAATTTGGTCCATACTCTTCCTAGTTGGTTGGTATTCCTTGAGTAAGAAAATCATTTTCTATTCCTAGTTATTTTTGTTCTTCGATTTGAAATTGACGGAGGTCGTTGTAACTGAAGTGAGGTAATTGATATTTATCTTTATTATGAATATTGATTCAGTTATGAATGAGTATTTATCTTTACTATGAATATTTATTATGAGTATTTATCTTTATTATAAATATTTCTCTCTCTCTCTCTCTCTCTCTCGCTCCACCGAATGAGTGATGGGCTGCCCCTGCCCCACACATTTTTTTTTGTCGTGGAATCATTTTAATCTTTTCACTTTTTTTTCTCTGCTCCGCATTCGTTTCTTCTGCTTTGACTTTTGAAGTTCAACATGAAAATAAGAAAAAAATAAATCTTAGAGCTGATTACCCCGTCAACAAACTATTTTTACCATGGCCGTTACCAGGCCATCTGCTGCAAAATAAATATGGAAGTTGGAGTTTTCCTATAAATTCCAAGCCGGAGTTGCTGTTTGGAATATCAATTTCATACCAAGTGCTGATTCCCACTTTCATTTCTGGCATCTCCCGTCCACTGTTTCATCCCCAGTCTTGTGAGACATGGCCACCACTCATTTCCATCTCCCCAATTTACAAACATGAGTGGCTAACTGTCCCAGTTGTCTTTTGTTACCAAATAGTATTCTATGTCAGCGCACACTACCAATGTCTTGTTAGATTGGCACTTCGTTTTTCTGTGGAGGCCTACAGAAAATATGGCTTTCTCTTTTCACTACCAGTGTGCGAGATTGAAGAGCGAAAATGATGAAGTCAACAGTTTTTATAAGTAGATCAACTGGTGGTATGTAGTGTGGTTGTCTTGTGTCAATTGCCTTTGCCGTCGGAATCCTACTGGTTCCTCCCTTGTCCTTGTCAATGTGGAAACTTCAACGCTGTTCCATTCTTGCTGCTGCCTGAGACTAAAGGAGTGTGGCATCAGTGCCCCATCTGTTCCATCCCCATTGTGCCCCGTATTTCATATTGCTGCTGCCATCCGTTCGTTCTCTTCTATTTTTAGCCTCAGCTTTTCAGTTCTGACTTTTCGATATCATGACATCTTGTTTCTTTACTCTGTTGCAAAAACCAAGACCCAACATCCAGACCATCCGCACAGGATTGCATTGCCTGTTGGGTGATGGAGAGACTGTCAACCCATGGTGCAAGCCTGCTTCACTCCTGATTTGTTGCCTGATCTGACCTCTGAAAGACTTTCATTTCCAGAACATCAGCTGGAACAGTCATTCTTGATCACCACCAACCTGGCACAACGATATAAGAGTGTGTTACACCTTTATTCAGGGTTCCTCCCTCTCTATGAATTGGCATAAGAAACAAAGCTAACCGTTAGATATGGTAAGTTAATTTCTACTTGAAATCGAAATAGATACTGAAGAAAATATTTCACTTGGTAAATTCTTTTCTACTTGGTAATTGAGTAACAGCATAAAGCTAAATGTTTTTCTCTGTTTCTTCTCCTGCAAATAAAATAATACATGACAGACACAAACATTTGATTTAGTCATTTTTCAAGATGGATCCTGATCAATGACTATGTTACAGGTCAATTACTCAGCCAAAATACCATTTTTATTTTGAAGCAGAAACACATTTTAATGTGAGAATGTAAATTCATGTTATCCATAAATGGTATGATGCTGTATAATTGGTGGTAGCAGGGGTTGAAGTCTGAGGGTGTATTTTATACAGTTATTTACACTTGCTGCTCTTGATATCTATAGAAAAAATACTTTTGTCGTTGTGGGAAGCAATGTGATGGTGAATGCCCTTGATTCTCTCTCTCTCTTGGTCTTTGACCTTTCTAATTGTGGTGCATGGTCAACCACATGTTATTTTTTCATTTGTTCGAATCTGTCAATAAGTAAATTAGACGTGGACATTTTCATAATATAAGATAGGATGTACTACTGGTGTAGGCATTTTTCTACTTCATTTTTGTGAACTATGAATAATGCTGATTATGCTGTTGCCAGAATAAATCAATTGAACTACTACCTGAGGTACAACGCGTGCAACTCAAATCAGGAAATTCGATTGCGATCAAGTCTCTAACTGCTAAGGATGTTGGTTTCACTCACGAGGAACCTCCAAATTCAAGTAACTCCCTTGTTGACTCATCTCTTCGGGCGTCGTTTGTTCTTCATGCTGATAATACCTCTATTATGAGCAAAACTTCTGGCTACGTGCACAAGGAAGTTAGTTCAGCTGGTTCGTTTGGTACTAATGCTCCACGTGGTCAGAATAAGCAAAATCTTGTATCTCGGGGAAGTTCTGTTGTGCCAGGCCCAGATGCCTCTGGAAAATATTCATCATATCCTCCTAATGGTGGACCTCCAGGCCCAAATGGCTTTTCTCCCGCGGAAGCAGTGCACAAGGATGGCGAAAGTCAGCAGTATCCATTCGGTGACTTATCCATCCAAAGATCCATTGGTTCTCCCGTCACACCTTTTGAATGGAAATTGAGTCGATCATCAGCACTTGACACTCGATTTCAAGATGAAAATGCTACTGGCCTTGCAGAAAAGGCTACATTTTCGTTTCTCCGCAGAGCATCTGTCCAAGAGCACCCAAGTCAGGTTGATGCCATACACAAGAGTGTTGTGTCTTATAATTCGTATGCTGATAACATTTCAGCCAGTTCTGTGAAAGGATATCAGCCTGGTCAATTTGCACCTTCAGTTTCTTTGGAGCAAGAAAAAAAAACCAATGCCTTCTGGAGGTAACACAACATTTTCTCCATAATTTTTTCCTTGGGTCATAACATATGCTCTCATTACAGAAGAAATATTCTCGGTGTTTGACGAATATTAAGGAGCTTTACTCTTTAAAAGGAGTTGCTATAAACCTTTATTGTTGAGCATTTTTTTTCCTTGCTGTTTGTCAAAAAGCTCAGATGTTTTTGTAGATTCATGTCGTGATTGTTGGTGAAGTTAATACATGAGCTTGGATTTGATTGCAATATGGATTTGCTATGGACTATCTGTTGTTGTTTACTTGCATAGACCTGCCTGTTTCCAGGCCTGATTGAGTTGTGATGTGTTAGGCTTGGTCAACCCTCATGAGACCTGCCCATATAAGATGAGCAGTCTGGATTTGCTATGGACTATCTGTTGTTGTTTACTTGCATAGTCCTGCCAGTTTTCAGGCCTGATTCAGCTGTGATGTGTAAGGCTTGGTCAACCTCATGAGACCTGCCCATATAAGATGAGCAGTCTGGAAATGCTTCAAGCTCTTTTGTTGTCACCGAGTTCCTGCACGCTGGGGGGTTCATCGTGTGGTCTGCAAGCCCTACAGCTCAATCCAGGCTCCCAGAGACGTTCACACAGATTAAGAATCATATTTTTTTCTACCTCTTTCATGTATAAATTATTTCAAGATTCATCATTGTTATTATCTAACACCCAGATGTTCAGGCGTCTCAAACCTCTAGGACATCCAGACTATGCTAATAGCCTTAATATCCTTATAAGCTGTTCTTCACCTGGGTGGCTTGTCAGTTTCAGGCTCAACTATTCTAGGGATTGTTAGCACGCATAGCTTAAGTTTGGCTATATTTGGACACAACAGTCAATATGTTTTTGTGATTATCAAGAAGACTAGAAGAATCATGGTAGCCTCATCGAGCTGAGACCTGATTAGGCAACTCCGGCGATAATTTCTTTTCCACAGATAATTGCAATTCCATCAAGTTTCCTAGATGGCAGAAGTTGATTGGATTTTGCAGATTCTAGGCATATGACATAGATAAATGTTTCTAGGATCAAGTGTGTGTATAGTCTCATCTTGTGAGATCCTGCTGGTGTAGTACATGGGACATGACATAGAATTTTTTCCGTAGATATTCTTATAGATTTAGACTCTTATTTCATTTGGATCAAGTTGGTTCTTCTGAAACTTTCTTTTCTGCTGAGATGCTTGAAATGTATTCACTTGGTTGATCCTTGTAGGTCCGACGAGAGAGAGACACCCAAGGCCATGAACACGAACGGCGTACCGAGATGGCGATCAGATGACTCTAGTGAAGACGAAGATAAATCCGAGTCATTTATGGGCAGCAGGATGTCCTCTCTTAAACGAAGAAGCAAACACGGAAGAATATGAAACCCTCTAGTTCCATGCAACCTTGGATCCCTCAAGGTGTTTTTGGCGATTGAAACTCTGTACAGCTAAAAAAAAAACTAACTCCAGATTTCAGGAAGTTTTGACGTGGAACGATTGCTGACAAGGTATGAGCTGCCTATCTTAGAAGAAGATGGTGAATTGCTTCATCCTTGGTTGCCGCGAGCTTTTCTCCCCTTATATTAGGAAAATGCATTTATTTTCGTACTGTTTCAAGTCCTGCAAGGTACCATTCTTTCCGATCTGACACCCTCATCTTTGGATAGCTTCTATAAAAGGCCTTGGGGTTTCAGAGTGGTAGAGGAAGAGAGCTTAGAGATGGTTCCAAAAGGGTTACCATCTTCTTGGCTTTAAGAGGGCTTACTGATCCATAGGATCATGAACTGAACTTAACTGGTCTGACAAATTGCCGGAAACTGGAGAAGTAGCCATGAAAAAGAGGGCGATTGTCAGATGGGTTTCCCTACCAGCTTTGAAATCATGACAAAAGTCTTCCTAATATGTTCCATTTAACTATTGGATAAATTCTAAAATCAGGTTGGCCTTGGCTCCCACTTTCACAGGGTTTAATCTATGTGTATATATGTGGGTTAAGATCAACCTTAGTTTAGGTTGGAGTAGAAAGGATTTGGGATTGCAGATGCTGACAATTGTGTGGATGGGCCTTAGCATATTGCTGTCATGAATGCTTTATTTATGTCTCAACTGCTCCAAACGGGTTCACCTTCTCCCTAGCAATGAGGAATCGAAACGAGCTACCAGATGTTGATGCCTGAATGAGGATTGTTGGCAACTAAAGAGAATATTGTGTAGATGAGTCTATACATGCTAGGAGTGATTGTCATGCATTAAATCCATGATTGACAACTCCTGTCTCAATTGACAGCATGTGTGCAAACTTCTTTATCTTTTGCCACAAGTGTTGATTTATGTTCTTTGAGTGTTGACGCTTATACAACCACCAACTCCAAGTGCTGATCTTGGTCATTAGGTGTTCACAAACACGTAAAATAACATTTCATACAATTGAAGGAGTGGGCTATGCATAGACTGATTCAACTTTTGTGCCTAGCAGAGTCAATAGCTTAAAGAAAGGTTATTCCAACAAGGGTAAAAGGGTGAAGATTGTTAAAACCATGGGGGGAGAGTACTTAGTCTTACGAGGTGGAGTAAGCAGTAGCATGGATGGAAGTGTACCATAGAGGAGAGTTGACTAGAAGTGAAATAGACCTATATGCCAGTGAGTATTGACCAAATGAGGTCAAAGAAGAGTAAAGACGTCTGAAGTCGTTGACTCAAGTCTTGTTAGTTGCAAATTTTATTCAAAGTCAAGGGATTGGGTAGACTAATGAGGTTCAAGGGCCTATAATTGAGAAAAAGGCCTACAACACGGAAGCCTATTCCATACTACAGATTGTGGCTAGTTCATAGTGTGGATTGTAATCAATAGGAGAGAAGTCAATGAAAACGAAAGTTGCATGCCCGTCAGCCACCTTCACTGGAACCAAAATTTATGAGTCATTGCATGGCTTCTTCTCCATGATATGACCTCCATTGTGGAATTGGCTATCCTTTATACCCAAGAAAACCAGGCACATTAACTCCTTGACTATGTCTTAAATATGTCATGCGTACATAAACACCTTGTGACAATGTACGAGATATAAAGTATCTTCTCGGGAACAAAAAATTTCTGGGTCATCTGATTTGTCTACGTCCTCCGAAGTAATGGTCATCAAATATGATCATAAATGACAAAAAGAGGGCATCACTTTCTCTCTTTGAGTATTTTTGCATCATCAAAATGATTGAAGCATGAAATTTTTTGGGCGTCTAGAAAACATTTATTTCCATACTATACGTTCTGCCTCACTTTGAAAGACATGGGGTCATTTTCTTATGTTATATCAATTAAATATACTGAAATCAATAGAGTACTTACTAGGGTAAGGAAAATGACCACTTATTGGCAGCCTGTAGTTGTTGTGTTGTTCTAAATGCTAAAGTGTCATAAATGAGCTGGTGGGCCAGATGGGGGTAAGTATCATGTGGTGCCCAAACGGGGTGGGGGAGTGTCTTCTTGACCAGGTACTGATGACATCAATTGTACCAGTTTATTTTCCCAAGCTTCAGTTTTCTTTTATAAAATTCATTATAAAAAATATTCCAAGCATGCCAACACAATTAGAAAAAAAAAACATTCCACTTAGAAATAAATGGATTACCCTCCCATATGGGTCAGCCATGGTGAGCTTGCTTCCTAGCATGTTGATGCCTCTTGAAACCAAGTGGTCACACATGGTGAACTTAAATAACATTAACGCTGCAGCATTTACAGATTGTACGAAATGGAAGACGGCACCAGAATTCAGGCCATGGCTTTAATTTTCATTCTCGACAATAGAATAAATGAAATTGGTATCCAACTCTAGAAAGTAAATGCACCCAATTAGCATACAAACATGTGCACGTATTTAAGGTATGTGATGAGACACCAGGAGTTCGTACGGCACCTAATTTTAGCCATTTTGTGAGAATGTAGAATGTCCATGAATTCTTCGCCCACCACTTACTATGAAACGAATATCATGAAGGCAGGCGTGAAAATAATGCGTATGGGTACAAGCATGTGTGCGTATTTACGCATTGTGATGAGACACTAGGAGCACGTATGACACCTAGATTTAGCCCTTTTGTGAGACTGTAGAATGCCCATGAATTCTTCTGCCACCATTTAATAGATTTTTTTCCTAGCAAATCGAATATCGTGAAGCCACGCAAGTAAGTAAATGCGTACGGGGTCCAAGCATGTGTGCGTGTTTAAGCTATGTGATGAGACACCAGGAGCACGTATGACACCTAAATTTAGTATTCTGTGAGAGTGTAGAATGCCCATGAAGTGTTAGACCACCACTTAATGGAATTCTTCCGTAGCAAATCGAATCTCGTGAAGCCATGCAAGTAGATTATTGCATATATGTATAAGCATGTATGCGTATTTAAGCTATGTGATGATTTTGTGAGAGTGTAGAATTCCCATGAAGTGTTAGGCCACCACTTAATGGAATTTTTTCGTAGCAAACCGAATCTTGTGAAGCCACGCAAGTAAATAAATGCATATAAGTGCAAGCATGTGTGCGTATTTAAGCTATGTGCTGAGACACCTAATTTTAGAAATTTATGAGAGCGTGTAGAATACCCATGAATTATTAGACCACCACTTACTAAGTAATTTTTTCCTAGTACTGGAATATAGTGAAGGCACACCCATGTGAATAAATGGGTATGGGTACAAACATGTGTGTATTTAAGCATTCTGATGAGACATCAGGAGCCCGTATGACACCTAAATTTAGCATTTTGTGCGAGTAAAGAATGACGATGAAGTATTAGGCCACCACTAAGTACGGATATTTTTCCTACTAATGGAATATCGTGAAGGTACTCACGTAAATAAATCTCATATGGGTACACGCATATGTGCGTATTTAAGCTATTATGCTGAGACACCAGGAGTCCGTATGACTCTTAAACTTAGCATTTTGTGCGAGTGTAGAATGTCCACTACCTGTTGAGCCATCACTTAGTATGGAATTGTTTCCTAGTAATGGAATATCGTGAAGCCACGCATGTAGATAAATGAGTACGGGTGATTATTGAAGCAATGTGATGTGACACCAGGAGGCCGTATGACACCTAAATTTATCATTTTGTGGGAGCGTAAGATGCCAATGAATTCTAGGGCTACCACTTATTACCGACATTTTTTCCCTAGTTGTTGAATCTCGTTAAGGCGTACCGTACTTCTAACACAGCATGGATCCTGTCCTTCCTCTGCTTTTCTGCTTTTAGTAATTAATATACAAGTATTTGAGGTACTTTGCACCACGGAAAGAGATAGATTTAGGTGAAGCCGATCAAATTATTTCAGTATATATGATTTGATATGGCGGGAAATAAATTCGGCGGGAGGATCGCTTGGACCTGGAGATCCAAGTTACCGAAGTATACTGTTCTGCGGTGGTGCATGACCGCAATCGATGCAGGCAATCAGAGACTGTAGACCTCGACGTAGGGCCGGACCACAGAACCGAGCCAGAGAGTTCCGCTCCTTTCCTCCACCTCGCTGACGGCGCCGGCGGCGGTGCAGTCCTCCACAACCTCCACGACGGCGCCGTCGGCGGCGAGCCGCATCGCCACCGGGCACATCACCGTTGCGCCCGGAGCTCCCCCCGGCGAGAAGAAGTCCCTGCCCATTCCGAGCGCCACCCAAAACTCCCCCGCTGGCGTCCTCTTGATGTTGTCCGGGAAGCCGAAGAGCTCCGCAAAGACGTCGACTTTCCCCGCAGCCGGCCCGCGCAGCCAGTAGCGGAGCACCCGCCGGTTGGTGGTCTCTGCGACGAGCAGGAACGCGCCGTCGCTGTCCATGGCCACGCCGTTGGGGAAGGCCAGCCCCCGCAGCAGCACCGCCACCTCCTTCGTCCTCCGGTTGTACCGCAGCAGCCTCCCCGTCGCATCGCCGGTGAGGATCGTCAGTATGAAGTCTCTGCAAGGGGAGAAACCCACCTGCGATTCAGCGAGAATGGAGGAAGACGGAGTGAGTCACCGGGGAGGTACCTCCGGTGGAAACGGGTGCTGCTGTCTGTGAAGTAGACGATCCCCTCATCCTGGTCGATGTCCACGCCGTTGGTGAAGGCGAAGGGCTGTCCCTCCGCTTCCGTCGCCACCTGCTGCGCCATTCCTCCACCGGGGCCGACCATCAGCAGGCCAAAATAGGCGTCGGCGATGTAGAGATCGCCGGTGGCCTTCTCGAACTGAAGCCCCAGCGGCCTTCCGCAGACGCCTTCCATCATAGTCTCGTAGGGGCCGCCGCACACGTCTTGCTCCCCCCGCGGAGGAATGGCGAAGTTCGTCCACCGCTGCGTTGTACTGTTCCACCGGAGGACACTGCCGTCGGAGACGCCGGTGTACGGCCCGCCGCCGCCGCCGTCGAAGGCGATGCTCTCCGGCCCCGCGGCGGGGTCCAGCTGCAGCTCGGCGCGTTCTTGGAGATCCATCAGGGGCTTCACTTTCAGAGAGGGGGCGGCGACGACGACGGAGATGAGGAAGAGGAAATGAGCCGCGAGGAGGAGCCCTTCAGGTCTGCGTAAGCGGAGCTTCGCTCCCATGGTGATTGAGCAGTGGGCTTCCTGCGAGGTTCCGTAAGCGAGTTCCCTGTTAACGCTTCTGCCCGCGTTTCATAAATGAGAAGGCAGCGTAAATAGCCCGAGGGGGAGGAGGGCTGGCGCTGCGGCCATTATTGTGAAGGTCAGATTTCTGACATCCCCATGCAGCTAGTTTTGACTTGAGCTTGAAGTTCCTATCACCGAAAATATGCCGTAGATGGAAGCCTAGCGCGGTGGATTTACCGGGAGAAATGACGGCGGTAATTCTCGGAACGCTGGCCTATCCTTATCCTCTCCTGCTGCCCGACAGGGCTTGTCGGAAGAACCGGCAAGATGTAAATTGGGTGAGGTCCTCGAGCTCGTGGATTCGGCGGCTTCAGAGAATGGTGGGCGGCTCACTTCCCCACTCGCCTCCCCTACTCTTCTCAACCGCACCATCACTGGACATGGCTGTCGCCTAGTCGGAGGCTGCATTCAAAACGGATGGGGAGGAGACAACCGGAAAACTGTTATGGAAGTCTTAAGTGATGACAGATGAACCTTCTGTTGAGTAAAATAGTCATGCTAGTTGAGATTATAAAATGAAAATAGTGCGAGATGAGAGGAAGAGAGAGAGAGAGAGTTTGAATAAAAAATAGCAACATCCAGCAGTCAAACTGAAGTATTTAACCAGCTTGCGTTTACCTTTCACTCGACTCTAAAAACAAAACATCTATCGAACAAGAGCTTGAGAAAATTTCTAAGATGATCTTAAGATGACACTCAAGTTCAATATTACTAACAGTTCTCTTCAAACCTACAACCTAGTGTTAGTTCACTTCAAAATGAAAGCTTGCAAGTATGTCTTAAATCAGATGTTTTTCCAGATTTCAATAAATCACACAACTTTGTCTCATTCACGGATATCCTGAGCATACATTATGGCCATGGACTTATATCTTGTTTTGTTAGCATTCTAGAGGAGCTTATAATTCTCATAAATTTCAACAATAGATATCACAAACACATACCATTATGTACTCTTTCACCCTTCTAGAATTTCCAAAGTCCTTCATAAACATTATCCTTCCCATCATATTATCATCATGAGTAACTATCGTCATACACAAGTTTGGAAACAACCTCAAAATGTCAGCAACCGAAGGCATACTTTTACTAATTTAGTTGAGGAAAACTTCGAGAGCAGTTGAGACCCTTTCTTTGATTGCTTCGGCAGCTGTAAATCTTTTCACGTAGCTCTTTCTTCAAGTGTGCTGTATAGCAAAAGTTATTTTCTCTCTTAGTCTTTAATTGACTAATGGATCTTCCTCTCTTCTTCCTTGAATGGAGGATAATGTCCTCTTCTCATAAGGTTGGTTTTTGTTCACTTAGAACAGCTAGAAATCAGACCATTAGTTGTCACCATGTGTTCGAAAACCTTCTCTTAGTAGCAAATGGTGCTAGGAATATGAGCATGCGACTACTTGTTGGAAAGCTAGTTTAAGGAGGAACGAGAAGTAAAATTTGATGTGCCAAAACTTCACTTAGAAATGTACTTTTGTCTGAATTCTAGGCCTAAGTCCAGCCCAATAAAGACCACACAATTAGCAGTTGTGATGGCCATTGTAGCCTATCAAGCTGAATGTAAACGAGTGGCCTTTCGTTAAGATTAAGGCTGAAGCAAAAAAGGCAAAGAAAATTCGGGAGAGAGCTTATCACGCCCTTCCTTTTCTTTGAATAAGTCAAAGTGAGATTTTCATCGTTGAGCACCCAAGGAGCTAGAAGATCATTTGTGCTCAAGCCTTCTGATGACTTCATCTTGAATTTTAAAGTTCCTTCACGTAAGGGAGCTTTCTAAGCTAAGGAAACTACATGGCTGATTTGTTAAGTTATTCATCCTTTACATAGTTATAGGTTGGCTGATACCTCATCCCTTATTAGAATTGTTGAGGCCTCATATTCAGTTGTTGGTTGCAGGAGGAATATAGTCTAATGCATAAGCTTGACGAGGTATGCATATTAAGTTGTATGTTGCCAGAGGAATATAGTCTAATGCATAGGCTTGTTGAGGTGTGCATATTAAGTTGTAGGTTGTTGGAGAAATATAGTATAATTCATAAGCTTGATGAGATATGCATACTTAGTTGTTGGTCATTGGAGCTGTCTAATCAATCTCTTGGACTCATTGAAGCCTAAAGATTCAGTTCATGTTTTCTAAAACTGAGATTCAGCATGTTTCACATATAACTTAGTGGAATTTAAGACTTTATCCTTAGAGAGTAGAGTAGGTTTGATTGACTGTACAACTATAAGCTCTAAAGTGTGAATCGTCAATCTTTCGTATCTAAAGAAGAAAAAATTAAAAAAAAGTAGTATTCAGCCTATCTTGAACTATTGTGCTGCCTAAGCTAAACCAACATTATGAAGTGTATGACTATTTTGACATTTAATTCTTAATCTATAGGGATGGTTGTTAACAAGTTAGCCATCAATAATAATTGTAATAGTCATTTTTTATAGTAGGTTGGTCAAAATGATGTGTATAGTTGATTAGTTAATCTAAACTTTCATGATTAATCCTTCTAATTGTATCTATTGAATTAAACTCTACAAACTCTTGTCATTCAAACCTTTAATCTATGAACAATAAAAGCATCCAAAAATTAATATATTTTGAATTTACATTTATTAAGCTTTGAATATCTATCATTAAGAAAATAAATATTCCAAAAAAATCATATATGGATTAATGCACCAATTTTTGCCTATTAGATGAAGAATTAGTTAAAAAATATTTAAACTTGAAGGATAATGCCTAATAATTAGAGATCCCTTGAAACTTAAAAGATCTTGACCAAAGGAGGAAGTGTTGGGATCTTGTTTCAACCAATTGCAAAAATATGATTGGTCAATTTGAATAAAATGACATCTAATGATTTATTTTTCACTGATTAAATGTTATTATTTATGAGCCTTATATAGTTTATTTCATCATGCAGTTTATACATTCTAATTTTTGTTCTTTAAAATTGTGAGTTTATTGGGCTTGTTACACCTTTCAGCAATTTAAGTTAATTTGTAATAGCTTAAGGTGAGCTAATGAAATACCACTAGTTTGAGATCAGGACTTAACTCTTCTAGTTGAAGGACTAGAGGATACCAAATATATTCTATAAAAGGGGAGAATATATGTAGTTAGGAATTCTATTAGATTAAACATTTTAATTTAACTTTTTTAAATACATAGGCTTCGAATTTATAATTTAATGCACATAATTATGAGGTTTTTCTTTCTTTCTATATTCAGATATGCCATGAAACTATAACAATTACAGTTAAATATTTTGTAATAGCTGACCATTGAATAATTGATTTGGGTTTCTTCATATGTTGAGTTCTTAATTGAACACTTGCATGTAGTATAGAATATTAATACTATGGATGAATTAGAGAGTGTATATTGTTGGAGAATTGATTAGCATATGAAGTTTTCATGATGATAAAAACATGAGTTAAATAAATCAATTAAATTTTGTCATGTATTTTTTTTTTTATGAAATACATGTGAATCACTTTTCATGCATGGATGAAATTAATTAAATATAAATTCATAGATAATACATAGAAATATGTTAAATCACTATAAAATAGTGAATGAGGCTCCTATTTTGAATTATAATTTTTTTGATGAATTTACCACTCAAAAAAATTACGTTGTTTAGGATTATTAAAATATTAATATTTATGAAGATTGTCATTGGTCAAAAGCAATGAGTTTCACATTAGATTTTAGTAAATTGTTGAACTAAAATTCTATTATGGAATTTTATACAAAATGCTAGAACATAAATTGAAATCATTACTTTGAACCATTACTGATTAAAATTAATTGATTGAATTTTTTATGTTTAAATATTTGCTCAATGTTTTCTTAATAATTTCAATAATAATTAAAAAATATTTTTTGATGTCATAAGTTGCCAAATTACTTATAATTTATTTTAAATAATTCTTTAGTGTGTTTATTTTATATTAATATTTTTTGAGGTAATTTTTTATTAAAGTTGACTATAGGATTAAATTTGAAGTCATTATTTAGTGTATTTTTATTTCTATTTTAGTGATAGAAAATTCTTGTTAGATATGTCAAATCAATAAGCTTTGGATTTATATGTTAATTCTTAAGAACTACATGTATTAATTTTATCCTAGAAGATATGTGTGCCTTAATAAAAATGTCATTTTTTATTAATAGTTAAATTTCTAACTAATTTTAGAGTTTTAATGCCTAGCAAGAACAAAAAACATGAGGAGGATGCAAATAAATTTTTTCTGTAAGTTTAGCTTTCCTACAATGACTCTATGATCTCTAATTTTTCGTAACAACTTCTGTGAAAAATTATGTGCAAAGTTTACCAATCCTTCAAGCTTGGTTGAATATAAAGAAGGCAACAAGTTGAGGAGAAAATTTTGATTCAAAAATAGTGATCCACACCTTGATTGAAGTGCCAAGATCTTCTTCAATCAGATACCTTCCCTATGTTAAGAACACAAACAAATTCATGTTCACTTTGACTTTCCTTCACCAAATTTTCAGATAAAATACAAGTCTTCATCAACAACTAAACATTCTTACAGAAAAATTCATTCTTATGTGATTAAATACTTATTTAATTAATCAAAGAAATTAATCTATGTAATTGATGTTGGGCCACATAGAGTTGTAAATCTTTATGGAAATTTACAAATTAAATTATATGAGAGCTAAATTCAATAATCAGTGGTTGCCTACTAAATAATTGGTTTAGTAGAACCTAAGCATGAACAGTTCTTAGAGAGTGAATAGAGATGGGGTGAGAACCATACAAAAAAATATTAGAGCACTAATGGCTTAGATTTAAGAAATCTAAGAGAATTTAGAAAAAAAAACTTACGCAAATCATTTCTCATTCTTTTTAATGTGTTGTTCTTGAAATGAATATTTACATATATTTATGGAATTAGAAGCTTACAAATAATTAATA